AAATGCACCATTTCCAACTCAGGAGAGTCTGCTGAAAGCTGGCTGGCTGTTGTCAGTCCAATAGGAGGTACGTTTGATACCAAAGTTAAAATAATTCTTCAAATAGAAGAAAATATTCTATTAATCTTTAGGATACGAATTGAGGAGATTTGGTCTAAAAGCAAAAGGTTTATAAAGTCTAAGCTCAGATGCAGATTTATTTTCTCAGAGAATCTTTGAAAAGTTTAGAGCAGAAAAATAGGTTTCAAAGTTCAGCCTTGTGCAAACCTGCAGAGCATGGAAACTGAAACGTTTGGGTGTCTGCATGTCTCTCACTGTCCACTGAGTTTTACGTCTCATTTTCAGGATCTAATGAAAAGACGCAGCCTTTGACTAACATGCTGATTATCATCATCATTTTGTTGTCCGTGGTTTTTGCTCTGCTCTTCTGGGTCATTGGACTGATTCTCTACAAGAAACACAGAGGTACCGTTAACTCCTTTAAATGTTCTCTCTGCAACATGTGCAACATGAGTTTGATCATTTATCTTTGTTTTAGTTGAGGAAAAAACCCTAACCCTAAACCGGGAGATGTCAAAAATTCAACCTGATTCTTTTAGGGCTTTTTAGTGGAAAATTCTAATTATATTTTGAAAATTATATCTGAAATTATATCTACAGACTCAAATATATACATATTTGGTCAAAAGTCTCTGCAAGCACCTAAACAACTTTTTGCATAATTTAGGTAAATATTTTTCTTTTTTTCTAACAATATTAATAAAACAACAACTGTACAGCAGGTATCATCAAATCAAACCAAATCTGATATATATAAATATTAAATTCACCCAGAGCGAGGCAGAGTAAACAAAACTTTGCTCAGATAAAAGTAGCAATACTTTAAAATATAGACATCTAAAAACTTACTTAAGTAAAAAAAGGTATTTAGTAAAAAGTCTACTCAAGTTTTAACTGATTAAATCTAATTAAATATTTAAAATTACATAATCATACTGAATAAAATGTTAGAGTAAGTGGGAATTTTGGTATATTAAGGACCAAAATTATGGTAATTCATGCAAGTTACCAAGAAAATTAAAAAATCAGGCAAAATAAATATTTTCAAAATCAGTTTCTTTCAATATAAACTTTAACAAAAACTGCAGGTGTGTTTCTGTGTCTGGTGAATTTTGAGTTGAAACATGTTTGTTTTTTCATTCAGTGGGAAGAAAATCAATAAATTTTCCTCAAGTAAGTGAAAAGATACGACTCAAGTAAAATAAAGTACAGTTTAGTAAAAATACATTTCTAAAAAAGTTACTCAATTAATGTAACTGTGTAAATTCCCAACTCTGGCTTCGCTTCACCAGACTCCAGTAAACGGATCATTAATGCGACTCTGAGAACTGAACTGAGGAAGTGATTCAGTCATTTAACTGACCAGAACTTTACTGGTCAGTTAAAGTTCTGACCAGTAAACTGGTCAGAACTTTAAAGTTCTGATAAATTACCAGAACTTTACTGGTCATTTATCAGAACATTTCTGGTCATTTACCAGAACTTTCACAGAAACGAATGTAAAAGTTGCTGTCGACTCTCAAATGACCAACATCCAGACAGACCAATCATCTGCAGTGGATTACATTTTTTTTTCTGTTTCATTTTTGCAGCCTTGAGAAATGAAATTGTCTCAGATCCAAATGATTCAACATATGCTTTGGTGAACAAGCCTGGGAAGAGGAAAGGTAGATGTTTGTTTCTGTCACACATTATTGTTGAAAACAGCAGAAGTCATTTTTAGTGCTTGATGTTTTTCACCAGGTGACTCTACAAATAAACCGGATGATGTCACGTACGCCGCCGTTGAGATAAAGAAGAAAGGTATTATTACCATGATGACTCATCTGTCCTCTGTGGCGCAGACTCCGTGACATTAGCTCAGTTTTACACTCCAACTATTTTCAGACAGGCAGACGTATCTGTCAGTTAAGAAACACGTAGTGAAACCACCGGGCGCAGCGAGGGGCCCCTCAGCTCGCTCCTTTACACAACAATAGAAATCACACGGAAATAAAACACTGATCTAATTCTGCATCCACGCCTTCACAAAAACATCTCCTAAAAACACACTGACAGCTTTAACTGCATGGAGTCTGAAATAACTGGTGCTAACAGCTGCAGAAAAATTGAAACTTAAACTGACTGTGGTTTTCAAATGATTGTTATTTTTTTCGTCCATCAGGGTCAAAGGTTTCCAGAGCGACCGCTGCCCAGCGTTCATCAGAGCAGGAGTCGGTCTATTCGTCCATCGCCCTGAAAAGAGAGAGTTAAATTAGTCATGATACGTCAGCAAAGTCTGTTTCTGTCCCGTTAAGCAAAGCTGAAAGCTTCAGTCACTAACTGGTTGAAATTGACAAAGTGATGATAAATATGACACTGAAAACTTTAACAGTACGAATATCATTATAGATCAAATGAAATGTGGAGTTCATGTCATCTGTTCATGTGTAGTCATTGTGTATTTTTATTCTGTTGTAGTTTTTATGCATCTGTTTGTGTTTTCATAAGAGCAAAGGAATATTTTCAAAAATCAGTGTGTGCATCACAGTGATGGTCTGTGCATTAAAGCAGCTCAGGTATTCTTAGCTTACATGTGTCTAAAGTGGGATTTACTGACACTTCTTGACCTTTAATGATCCATCATTGAACCACTGCAGGCTCCTCTCTCCAGACTTACCTGAGAAGGACTTTAGGTGTGTTTCAAAAGACCAGAATATATGACACTGGGCTGTAAGTTGACAGCCTGACAGCAGAACCTCCAGTTTAATGCAATTTGTGGTTCCTTAAATAAATGATTTCTGCCAGTTGACACAAAAATTCAACTTAATTTTGTTGTGTCGTCTTATATAGAATCAGTTACATTTTCTGCCTGAAATAGTTTTGAGGTGATGTTTGTTGTGACTTGGCAACAGTAAAATTCAGTTTTAGTGAAATAATTTCTTACACAACTTTGAACACAAGTGTCTTTTTGATGAGTGAAGCTTGTCAGAGACATTTTCAATGTCAAAAAGTCATATGCTGACAATATTTTATCACATATTATCCTAAATGTCCATCTTTGTTATAACATCCAAAAACTCCCCTTACTACAGAAATGCAACTCCATTTTTTGGCAACATCTTGCCTTATTAGTGGCCGTGGAAACAACAGATTATTTTCTGTGAATTAAATCAGAGATGAATTATCAGTTTTTATTGTTTTTGTTGTATTTAAAGTTGATGCTATAGTGTTATGATTTAAAGGGGGAAAAATCCTATTGAATATAAAAATTTGTCATGAGCTCCACATTAGCCACATGTGGCTAATGTTGAGGCTAATTAGCCTCAAACATTGTATAATGCTGGAGGCCCCTGTGCTGCAGTACTCACTAACGGCCACTAGATGGGATGAAAGACGCTGGACTGAGAAAACGAAAGTTTCTGCAGGATTCTCCTCCTTCCTGCCCACATGAGCGACAAAGATCTTTGTTTGGCTGTATTGGTCAAGGATGTTTGCACAAAAATATATTATCTTAAGAGGAAGTAAATGAAAAATCAACAGTATGTATATGTATGTAAATAGCCAACAGACTGAACACTGAGAAAAAGTATCAATTAAAAATTGTGTGAAGGGAAAATCTCCCGGCGTGTGAAAACAGATTATTTAGGAAATCTATTGACTGAGGGAAAGAAAGATACACAACTTTTAATACAAACTGGTTAGTTCACATACAACAGTGACCAAATGTTAGTGCAAATGTATTTGTTATGAAAACCTGTCAAATTCACATGATACTTATTAACTTTAAGCAGAAACAGAGAACCTAGTGACAAAACCTATATGATAGATTCCCATCTGATTGTGACAAATCAGAGTCTTGCATCTCTATTCTTATTCAATGCTTTTAATTTCTCTCTTGAGGAAGAAACTGTTAAGTTTTCAAAAAGAATCAGGAACTTTGAACTGTAACAGTGAAACTAAAACACTGACAGAAACTGAAAAGTGAACTTTTGTTCGCCTTTATTAGAAAACCTATGAGTTTCAGATAAGAAACAAATAAAGTCGACAAATTCTAGCAAAGATTGCAGAAGGTTTTTCCTTTTAATTTTGACGAAGAAACTAACTTTGGTCAGTGGAAGTTAAGACAAATCACACATGAAATGAGAAGTCATATTGTACCAAGTTTATTATAAAGTCACCAAATGTGTGTGATATACAAACCAATATTAATTTTTCTTGTGGTTTATTAAATAATGTTTCTTTCATCCTGTGTTTTTCCGAGGTCTGACCTCAAATTTGCTCTCAGTGCAGCTTCACTGGGAGTTTCTCTTATCCTCTTTCTCATTCGCTGTGCAGGTATCCCAGAACGCAACTTAGATAATAAGCAAACTGATAAAGTTTTAAAACTGAAATTTCTTATGTAATAAAAATGTCTTATTCAGTTACTTCAAGATGCATCATATGTGAGTCGGAGTCGAACCCGCAACAGCCGGGTCAAAATAATGTGTGCGGCCAATTTATCAAAACATAAACTGAAAATAAACTGTTATCACTTTTTAAAGTCAAAGTTGGAAAGAATGTTCCAGTTTTACTGTTACAGAGGTAAATATATTTTTGAGTGGAATCATGTTATATTTATATTATACAAACAAAATATATATTATACAAGCATCATAATTATATTGTTAATGGCTGTATGACATTTTAATCAACAAAATTGGGCTGATTGATGATTTTAGCAGAGCAAAAGAGAAAAAGAAAGAGAAAAAAGAGAAAAAGAAAGAATATCAATGAGAAATTTAGCAAACTAAAACAAACATTGTGGGTTGAGTTAAACCTTATCTGTCTTTCTATCTGTATCCTCAACTGCCAATTGCAACGACTCATCCCTGATAGAAACTGAAAGAAAAAGAAAACGCTGGTTTATTTAAATCTGACAGAAGAGCAAAAAGAAGCAGCTTTTGCTCCTTTCACTGAATTTGATCCGATTGCAATGGAAACCTCAGTGGGAATCTTTGTTGCATTTCTTGGTCTTGCAGCCTCAACAGGTAAATCTTTATGATTCTAAAACAGTTGAGTTTAAAGATAATAGTTTAGCTTTCACTTATGTCAGAGTGAGCAAATCTCTGAGCAACAATAATAGACCCAGTTCTAAACAACCACTGACTAAAATGGGCTTGTAGTTTTAGTTTCCAGATAATTTCAGATAAGAACAAGTTTTAGAGACTTTTAACAATAATCGTAGCAAAAACGAGCAGGCATGAAACGTTTTGATGGGGAACCTCAGACAGAGGAAGTGAGGCGAGCCGCCCAACAAGAGGCAACGTTCCTGTCTGGATCCCAGACAGAAACTCTGGTTTCTGCTGCTGCACATCCTGTCTGCATTTCCATCACTCATCATCACAGAGAACATGGATTTCTATAATTCTCAGGACAATCACCAAACTGTGTTTCAAAATTGTACAACAAAAGAAACGTTCCCATACTTACAGCTTCCTTTTCTTCATTGATAAAACAATCTGATGCATAAGCTAAGCTAAAGTCTGCATGTAAAAAAATCATTTTTTCTGCTCCAGTTCAATCTGCACCAGCTCAAGAATATTTCAGCCAACATTATAAAGACGCTCAAAGACAAGAAAATGAAACGCAGTCAGACGCCATGCTGACTTCCCGTAACACCACAACAGGTGATGCTCACGGTTTTTGTTCCAGATGATGTTATAATAATCACGCTACACGTGTTCTGTGCTACACTTAAGTTGAATGCATAACAAATTCAGTTTTGTGTTTATGTGAATTTTTCCTCTTTTCTCAGGATCAAACATTTCTCGTGGGCAACTGATCGGCATCGTTGTCGGCGTCGTTGTTGCTGCGCTCATAGTCACCGTTTCTTGTGCTGTTATGGCAGGTATGTCTGAAATCCAAAAAACAACATACATGTATTTTTTACTGGTAAAATATTAACTATATCCAATAGAGGAAAAAAGGGACAACATAGCAAGTTAATACTGAATTCAAGCTAAACCTCATTTAAAGACCAGAATAAATGTTTTAGAAAAGAAACTTTAAGAAAGATGAATGTTTTTGAAAGAACATTATTTTTTGATAATGCATGTTCGTTTATTTTTCAGGTCTCAGTAATTCTTGGGCAACATTTTTTCAGTGTTTTTGTAGCTGCTGTCAATTATGCCTTGAAATAGCAGAAGCAGTCAACTGTGCGCCGCTGGATTGTGACGCGATGCTGGATTGTGACGCGACGCTTTGAGTTTCTCCAGGGAGCCGGTCTGCTGCACCCAGCCAGCCAAAATAAAACTTAGGGAGTATTTTAATGTACATATCTTGTGTCACAGCATTATGGACTGCCCACATTGTTTTGTTCAAATGTTTTCAGATTTTAGAGAGACTGTGTTGGATGATGAAGCTCCTGGTGTTTCTGGGTCATGACCTGATGCCATGTCTGGATATGGTTCCTAGATGTAATATTTAGTTTTTCATTCATTCAGACACATTTACCTAACATGTATTTGAACTCAATACTTCTCTTTTTATTGGAACATATCACTAATCCAATGCATCCTGGAAGCTCATCCAAACAAAAGAGGCTTAAAATATCTGAATGCAGGAAAAGCTTGTTGGACTTCACCTTTGTTTAAGTGGTTTTGGACTTTGTTTAAGATCCTTTTATCATTATTTTTGTTGTTTTGTTTCTTCTCTAGTTGGCATTTGAGCAGCCATTATATTCTCCTGTGTTATTTGTTTGTTAGGTCAGTTGGGCTGTTAAATATTCTTCACTGCAAGAACTAAATGTGTTTTGGTGAACTGTAATCTTTGAGAGATTTATTTAGTTGAGACAATTATGTTGAATGACATTTAGTGGTTAAATAAATGTATGATATAAAAATATTATACTTATGAACGATGCTTGCTTTGTTTCTGTAAATATTTGATCATCTTCTTGTAATTGTTCATAAATAGTATATTTCTTCATTAATTTGGTTTATATTTATTGTCATTTATATTTCCATGTATATATTTCTATTAAAAATATAATTTTAAATAGTATTTATCTCAATAAATTATGTACTAATACTGTTGAAAATTGTAGCTGAAATCCATTTGAAAAAATTTTATATGGCACATGCATCAAAATTCATATTTAATTGTGATAAACCTTTTCTATAATGTTTTCATATTCAGGACGGCTGTAATATATCAGCTCCTCCAGTCAAATTGACCTTATTTTCAAAATAAAGTCTGTAAAAGGTGATTGGTTTGTGCTGCGGCTCTCGTAGCTTAATGTGACTCTCAGATGCAGAAGCAAGCAGAAAATGTTTATTATAATAAATACAACTCCAAACAAACTAGTCTCATCTTTTGGTCCATTCAGGAGATGCATCAAGTCGTACATATTTGGAAACATGAACGACGCAAAAAAAAGAGATAATAATAATAATCTGACGTCACAAAACATCAGAATTGAGCAGAAAGGCCTGCAGCTTGACGCAGCCTTTCTGCGCCCCAGTGGTCCTGAGAACGACAGCATCTCTGTGGACCATGTTTAAAGCTCACAGCACAGATATAATACAGACTTCAGAGTTTTGATGTGGTCCATCAGAGCAGGTTGACTTAATTCAGCTTTTGCTTTCAGACTGAGTAGATGTGACCATGTGATGGGAGAAGTGGGGCTACATATTGCTAACACTGAAACAGGAAGTTGTGGTTGCAGTGACAACATTGGTGCAGTCAGTACTCAGACCACCGTTCAGTCAGCATGGAGGTCACAACACTCTGCACTATTTTTGGTAAGTTAAACAGTTTTTGTGAAAAGGATCTTGACTTGTGGTGCATAGAAGTAAATTCTAGTTACATATTAGTTGTTGAGGGAATTTCTTCCCAGCCCTTCATTCACAGGCTGTTTCTTTTTGCAGTTTCTTTCAGGTCCTTCCCAACAGATCGCAGTTCTTCCGGTACGAATCTGCCGCCTTCAGCCTGAGCTGCGACCTGCAGGAAGACGCTGCTGCATGGACAATAAAAAGGAACACGTCCAAACAAATCAATTCACTTTGTCCTGCATACACTGCTGGAAGGAACGACTCTGCATGCCTTTTAACTGAGCTTTATGAAATGGACTCTGGAGTGTACTGGTGTGAATCAGAGGCTGGGAAGATCAGCAACACCATCAACATCACTGTTACTGGTAAAATATTAACTAAACACTCTTTATTGTCTTGTTGTTGATAAATATTTGGATCAGTTTGGGAGAAGAAATGTTTCACCTCCGATTCTTGTAGAGGAATCCACAAATGAGAGTTTTTTTTATTTAGACGGTGAGATCCTCCTGGAGATCCCAGCTCTTCCAGTGATGGAAGGAGACGATGTGGTTCTGCGATGTAGAACGAGGGGAACATTATCTGGAAATATTTCATCTGCGTTTTATAAAGACGAGCTTCTCATTGGGGAAAGCGTGAGAGGAAGCATAACTCTACAGAGGGTTTCTAAATCCGACCAAGGACTCTACAAGTGCCACGTATCTGGAGTTGGAGAATCACCAGACAGTTTTCTGACTGTCAGAGGTTAGTGACTGAGCTGAGGAATGGAAATAATCTATTGACCACAGCAACATATTAAGAAGAAAATGTTGAGGATGATAATATTATACCCAACCAGGAAGAAACATGAAAAGGTTGACATGAACTTTCTACCTTTGAACTGATTCTAGATAATAAATGGTTCTTCCAGTTTGACCTTAAGATGCTTCAGCAGGTCAGTGAAGGAGATATTAACATCTGTCATCCAGATGTTTCCAGTGCAGAGAGTTAAAGTCTGCAGCTCCCGATCATCAGATTTAAAGAATTTAAGTTTCTGTATATAAAATCGTTCCACTTTGGTCCAGATTGTTGAATTTCAGTTTATTTTTGCTCTATAATGAGTAACACATAACGCTGGTCAATGAACAATGGCAGGCAGCTTAAAGCAAGTTAATTCTCCATGCTTCAAATTGCCCAGTTATTGTTGTCACTCACTGTTATTTCTCACTGAAAGTGTTGACTGTTGTCGCAGAAACTTTGCTGTTCTACTTTATTGCTAACCTGTGGTTGTCTGCTCTTACGCAGGATTTCCTGAATCGCCGCCGTCACTACCTGGAAACATTGCACTTCTTGTGATGGTCACTGGAGTTTCATTATTTCTAGTGATGTTGCTCTGTCTATGGAGAAACCATCCCGGTCAGACACGACTTACTTTTACTGAAACATGAATATTATCAATGTCAGGCTGGATGCAACATCATTAAATTACTCATTACATTTCAAGCTGGAACTAAATATGGTTAAAATCTAATTTGTTCTGTTATACAGACAATTATGACTCTTCTGTTGTGATTTATAGTGGAGAAATCAACAGACAAACACAGAGAGCAACAGGTAAACTTGAACACACTCAGAATGTGAGGGACTTTGTTTTTGTTTTGCTCTTTCAGATTTTTATTCAAAACCCAAATAGTTTAAAGAAAATAAGATGTTTTTGAGTCGATCTAAAGTCAAAGCTACATTTACACAAGAAAATGAAACAAAATGTTAAAAATGAGTGTTGTTTCAGATGATCTCCAGAGGGGGCGCCACTCTGCACTGGTCACTGTGGTCGTGTACAGACCGGCCCACGGACCGGCCCTGAAACCGGCCCTGAAACCGGCCCTGAAACCGGCCAGAGTTTGGACTTATAAAGCCTACAGAGAATACAGGAAGAAACAGCAAATATTTTCATCTTTACATAATAAAAGTGCGACTCTCTCACCTGCCAACGACTATAATTAATACAAAAGTTTAAAGTTATTAGCCGTTTGTTTCAAGTTTGGACACTTTTGGTGGAATAACTACCATGTTTGTTTATATGTACAAGAAACTGTCAACTGAATCAATAACATCCTTAATCTAGAGATCAATATTTTTATTGAAAAGTTGTAAATATTGTATGTTTTTATTGTGAAACTGAGTTTCTGTTCTGGGCTAAATAACACAACTATATCAACATAAATATGAATTCACAGCACAATCCGCTATGGTCATAATCCATCTTCTATCTAGTTCTTTGTGCTGCTTAGCTGACCTGAAAGTTTCCTTAATTATTGACTCGTTAATGTCTGTATTCATGCAGTAATAGCTGCCAGGTAGGAAATATTGAATCAGAACCAGTGGTCCCCAGTGGTCACCAGAGGTCACCAGTGGTCACCAGAGGTCACCAGTGGACATCAGTGGTCACCAGTGGACACCAGTGGTCACCAGAGGACACCAGTGGTCACCAGTGGTCACCAGTGGTCACCAGTGGACACCAGTGGTCACCAGTGGACACCAGTGGTCACCAGTGGACACCAGTGGTCACCAGTGGTCACCAGTGGTCACCACATTGTTTTTTTTTGCAGAGTTGTTTCTCACCTGTGATGATCTGATGCAGGACGCTGAGTCAGCAGTCTGGAAACACTGAACTTCCTGTTGTCATCATAAGTGCTTCATTTTTTTTAGTGACTCAGGCTGTTGAGGAACCACCAAGGTGTTCCGGCCATGACATTATTCTGCAAACACAGCCGTCATTATCTTATTTATTTCCTGATTAACCCATTCTAATTGCATATGTAAAGCTAACACTTTGTGCTGCAGAAAGATGTGAATACATTAAAGATTAAAAAAAGAGTGAAATGTTTTCTCTTCTGTTCATCACTTCTGATGTGACTGGTTCTGTGGTTGCTCAGACCAACAGGATGTTCTGTAGAATCGTCTTTCTTTCGAGGTTGGAAGAAACAAACAGTTTGATGTTCTGCACTGATAAACAGAAAATGCCGCAGACTCACCGTTAGCGAAGCTTCAGGACCACAGCCGTGAAAATCCAAGAGCATTCTAGCACCACTCTAAAATCTTGCATAACCATCTATTAGTTTGCACAACAAATTTACTGTAATACTTGTAAATAAGTGCAGTGGAGACCATCTTTGCAGGCTCTTTATTTCTGCCTTTGCAGGTTCAGCCAGTCAACACTGAGGAAAATAAATGCAGGTCTTTGATTGGTTGCTTGTTAAATTCTGCATTGCATTGTTTCAAATGTCAGATGAAGCTGGAATACATTTTTATTTGAAAATAAATTAATCTCGTTGTGGCATGAAACACAACAAAACATTTTCAATTAAGCTTAAGTAAAGTAATCCAAACAAGTTTTGTGTCTTTCAGATAACATAAGAAACCAAATATTGTGCAAAATAATTACATTTAGTCTGTTTCTGATAACTTTGTTTGGCTTAAATGTATACAACCAAAGAAACTCAATATATCATTATAAATAGCAGTTTCAGGGTTGTCATTAGCTAACTGGTGAAGTTCAGTTCATCTAAAATAAATATGTAGTTTTATGAATCTTCTTCATGGATTTCTTCTTCCTCTGCCGGTGCTGAAACTTCCTCAGAGGTTTTAGATTCTGCAGAAGGAAAAATGATGTTGATTCACTGACTTGGTCATTTACAACTCAATCTAGTGTAAAGGTTGAACAAACCTGAGAGAATTGTCCTAATGCAGGAACAGATCTGGTTCACATATTCGTTCCTCAGAACCTTCACGTCTCTTTGAAGCTCCTCCGTCCACTTCTGCTCCTCCGCGATTATTTTTTCAAACTGTAATGAAGTGAGACATTTCACTGATGATCCTGATGAAAGCATAAAGCCCAGGTGTGTGCAGGATTCATGTCTGACCTCGTGTTTGTATGTCTCCTTCAGCTCATCCAGCTGAGCCTGCAGCTGCTGGTTCTGTTCGGTCAGAACCTCAGACTGGGCCTGAGCGTCTCGCAGCTGCACAGCAAAACATAAAAACACAAAACAAGAATGGAAAAATATTAATGCAAGTCACAGAATCTCTTTTCAATATCACTTATCAGAATAAATCAGTTTTTTGAGTCATTGACAATGGTAATAAGAATAGCTCCCTCTAGCGGCCACACTGGACATGTCATGCTGAGTGAGATAAAAACTTTATGAAAAAAGTATTATTCCTTCTTTAAGGCAACAATTACCAGGCATTTCTTGATTAGCTGGTGAATAAATACTTTTTGGCTCATATATTTCTTTGGGAGAAAATGTGCCTTTGAAATAAAAACAACGTTAAATGTGATGAAATGCTGAAGCTCATAATTTGTTAGGATCTTAGTGGAGATTGAATTAAATATGAAACATGTATTGTCAACAGAATATAAAGACGTAAACATGTTTTGCCTCTTTGCGGAGCTCCGTGATCTCTGACGTCAAGTTCTCCAGTTCTGGCTCCTCAACGGCTGCAGATTGTTCAGGATTCTGTGTTTTCTGCTGCGATCAGACAAAGAAATGGATGTTGAATCAGGATTTCAGCACAAAAATAACTTTTCCTAATAGAATTTCACAAATTGATACCTCAAAAGCAACATTTTTATATAATTATAAACCAGGAAAAGAGTTATTTATTTTAGTTTTGTTCCCTGTGCCTGGCTGAAGTTTCCTGCCCATGAATCTTGACTCTGTTTCTCATTTTAATAAAACTTTATCTCTTTTATTCTTTAGACTTAAACACTGACTCTGAACTGTTCTCTTTAAATATGTTTCTCTCCTAGACAGGAGAAACTGCAGCAATTAACTTTTGTCTTTTCTTCTGCAGGAGGTCAATGAGAGTTTTTTCCTCTCCACTCTCGCCACATGCATGCTCAATATCAGGCTTTGCAGCAAAACTAATTATTGCCTGCTGTTGCTCATCTAGAATAATGACTCCATCCAACCTGCTGTGTTACATCATGTAAGACATTATGTGAATATCAAACTCATGTTGACTGTTTAGACCAGTCGATGGAAGTGACAAGTTTTATTGTGAATTTGGTGCCATATAAATATGCTCTTATAACTGAAACATGATGTAGCAAAAAGTTTTTTACCTTCACTGTGGAAATAAAACACTTTAACACTTTATCAATAAATCTGAAACTGGACTCATGCAGCTCTGATAAAGATCATTTTCATTTTGAGTTTCAGGCACGTAGAGATTATGAATGTTTATTCTAGAAGCTATAAATAGAGGTTGCACCTGGTCTTTATGGTTTTCCAGCTCCTTCATCAACACCTGCTGGGATTCTTCTGTCTTCTTCATCGTCTCATGGAGAATTTCAACCTTTTTTGAAAAGCTCTCCAGCTAAGAGAACAAAAAATGGAGGTAAGATACTTTCAGAAAACATCCAACTTAGACGTTCACAAATTCCTCCCATTAGCAGCTGAATCTCTAGATTACAAACTTTGCTTGTCTGCAACAACTCGATGCCTTTAACCGGGACTCCTAACATAGATTTCTTTTTCTCCACCAATTGGAAACACAGACTGAAGTTTTCAAACACTCACAAAATATCCTTGAGTTTGGTGAAAACAGATAAACCTTTTGTGTTTTGGTGTCCAGCTCTGCTTTCAGCTCCTGCAGGTGTTTTTCAGCCTCCTCTCTCTTCATCTGTTCAGTCTTCAGCTGCTGCAGGACTTCAGCCTCTGACTGCAGAACGGAAACAACAGATGTTCACTTTCTGTCAGTCTTTGCACTGATCAGAATCAGTGAAGTGAACAATGTGACTTTTACCTGCTTCACGTCTTCTTTCTCAGCTTCAGTCGGCTTTTCCTCCAACTCGGCTTCACGCTTGGATTCTTGTAGCTGCACCGGAAACAGGATGTTGGATCCTTATAATTAAAGCTTAATTTCATGCTGTATGGGGCATTTTAAGAGCCATTTAGACAAAGAACAACAGAAGGAAAAGTACCAACCAAGCTCTGCTGCTTGTCGTAGTCCTCAGTCATTTCCTTCAGTTTCTGAGTGATCTCATTCACTTCCTCATCTTTCTGCCAAACGTTCCTGTCAGTCAACTGAGGCAAACAGAAAGAGAAGATGTTGAGTTGTTAGGCTGTGTTCGCACAAAAACATATATCCAAACCAAACAAACTATACTTCTGCTACTTTAAAAAGATAAATGTCCCTTTTAAGATTGATTTTGTTTTGGCTCTTTGGTTAAACTGTTTCACATCATTGCTTCATCATGAAATGGAGGAAACTCGGGACAGAATCTTCTCTCTTACCTCCAGGTCTCTTCTGGCCGTTTCCAGCTCATTCTCCAGCTGCTTTTCAAGGATGTAACTTTGTTTCAAACGTTCTTCCAGCTGACAACACGAAAAGAGAAAATTTATTATATCACTCATGGAAATACAGAAGAAAGCTTAGCTTTTGTTTGACATCCAAAACTTATTGACCCTCCTACTTAAATAATCCACAACCAATTTTCACAAAGTTATTTCTGGCTGCAGGTTTTGCAGCATTTAATGAAACAATCCTGTTTTGTTTTTTTTGTTTATCAAAAACCAAACCATTTTGATATGAAACGACAAGAAATGTGCTTTTAAGTGACTAAAAATGTGTAAAGTTTGATTGATTAAAATGAGTTAAAGCCAAAAAGCTGGCTATTCTTCTCTATTGTTTGTAATTCAAACAGTGTGAATGTCACAGAGGGAACTACAGCAGTGATGTGTTTTAGTGTGTTTACTTTGTTTATCCATGTCTTCGTGACGATGCTCTTCAGTTGATTGAGGAAGTTCTGGCTTCTCTGATTCGCCGTTTTTACCTTCGGCAAAAATCAGAGAAGAGAAGTTTAAAACTGACAGCTTTAGACAGTTCAGTTCATTGATCTGCTGGTTAGAAAATGAATCATTAAAAAAAAGACAGCAGCTTCAATTCATCTGCACTCCATTCAACTGTAGCTTAAAAATGCAACCAAATGGACTCCAGTTGCATTTGGTGATGGTGGGTAAAAGTAAACCAGCCGTTCTGCAGAAGGTCCTTCGCTTTATAAACTGTTTTTATTGTTTGTTTGTTTTTATTGAGGGCTCAATTTCCACTTTATTCAGCTAAATCTGCAATTTGCACAAGCATTTTAACATTGTGATTATCAAACAAACTGTCTTAATGCAAGATTATTTCAAGTTAGTAATTGAAGATGCAGAGAAAATTAAAATAAAAATGATCAGAATAAAGAATAAAGCCATAATATTGCAACTTCATTCTCTTAATTATACTCCTTTATTATTATTTTATTAATATGGTCTGATTCCCTGTACATTCTGTGTTAATTGATTTGTTTTTTTCATCTTGCTGAGTTTATATTTAGCAATAAAAAGCAAACAACAACAGAACAGTTACAGGCTGATCCAGACGTTCATGTTTCTGCAGATCAAAGTTGAATTTCTTCTAAAATAATTGCTTTAGGACATTTTCTGATATACAAGCTGTTTCCACTTACAGGAGTCCTCTCTGCCTCTTCACCTCCCACAGTGGAGGATCCATCAACTTCTGTCAAAAACACATTTCATGTCAGTGCATTTAGCCAGAACTGCCTGGATTGTGCATCATTGTCCTCCTGTTTGGACAGAAACATCACATTTATTATGTTTTCCTACAGCATCTTGCAGTTACCGGAGGAACTGCTGTTTGGGTTTTGTTTCCATTTATATGCCACAAAGACGAGTGCGAGAAAGGTCACATTCAGAGCAGCTGCTCTCACGTAGGGAAACAAACTCTGGAGAACGGGAAGAATTTCCTCCACAAAATAATCTAGAAACGAGAAAAACAGAGAAAAAACTAAAGTTAGCAAATCACTCTTCATGTTTCAGGTGAGATGATGACATTTAACTTAAAATCATCATCATATTCTCAGAAATAATTTGCGTAAAAATGAACATTAGCTGCTTTAGCCTTGACATAAATAGCTTTATTGATGCTAATGGTGCCAGGAAAGGAAGCTGGAGGAGAAATTGTGCACAAATACTGAGTTGCACCAGCAGGAGGAACTTTTGAGTTCTGCATAGTTGCAAAAGATGGAGAATTTTTTTAAAGTAAAAAATTCAGAATTTGAGAAGTTAAACGTTTTTGAGTTAAAAGAAAGAGTGTAAACTAATCAGTAGAAATGTGAACCAGGTCGAAAAGGTTTTGGGACGTAATCATGAATGAAACTTTAAATAAACAGGTAAAAATGAATGTTTAGCTCAAACTGAACCTGACAGACCACAACTGCAGACATTTACCTGTCCACTCAGGTAGGATTTGGATGACAACTTTTAAACTCATATTTATCTGTGAACAAAGAAAAGAGACAATTTTTATTATCTTCATAAATGCTGCAGGCTTCACAAGATAAAGTAATGGCTGGTGCAGAACCTTAAGTATTTGATTTGGTTTATTTTTTAACTGAGTTTCAGGAAATTTCAACTTGATGCTTGTTATATCTCGATTTCTAATATCTATGATTTAACATCTGAAAAAAATTGCTGCTGTGATGTTTACAGATCATTAAATTATAAGGTCAGGAATGTTAACACACATTTAAATTCTCATTTTCAAAAACTTATTTTCTTGGGAAAAACAAAATGTTATTTATAAAATGAAATTCAACCTGATACTTGAAACTTTGTGATATTAGAATCACTTCTTTTGATGAAAGTAATGCACGTTGTTTCACATATGAATATTACCATATACTGTTATTTAAAAATAAATAATTTGATAAGGTGACTTTAGAAAGTAGCTTTAAAAAAACACCATTTTCTAATCTGCTTGTATTATTATTATTTTTTGGTGTTTGTTGTGATGTCAGATTTAGCAATTAGCTAAAATCTGTAAATATGCTGGTGGAGGCTGTAAAGTCACTAAATTAATATTCCAATACACTGACTAAATAATAAAATCAACAAGTGAAATAAATAAGCAATTACACAGATTACATTTGTTCTCAAACGTGTCTGAAACAGTCCAGTTCTTACCAAAGTAAATTAAATTATATTAGATTCATTCCTCTTTAAAACCAACACATTTTTTCTGAAAAATAGAATAAATATTATGAACCAAATGAACCGAACAGTTCATATGAGGTCAGAGATATCAACCCATTTATTAGTCTTAAAGAAAATAAAAATTGTTTTTTTCTGTTTTTCTTTATCTTTGCTCTTTATTCTCTGGACGACCTGCAGGTAGAAACTCAGATACTATGAAACATCAACTAAAGAATCCAACATTAGTTTCAAAAACAAGATATCAGCACTGATTAGTTTCTTCAGCAAATGTATTTTTGTGAACATTAATTTTGATTTTTTTGTTTTCAGTATTATCACCATGCGGTTATTGAAAATAACACAACTCACCTCCGGCGTGTGAATGATTCATCTCCGGGTTGAGACTTTGACTCTCCAGCTTTTATACAGCAGATGAAAAGAAAACAATGTTCCTCCTGGCAACAGCGGCCCGGTTTCCTCAGAACTGAAGCAGATTCTGCTGAAGGAAGTTGTTTTGCTTCGACATCATATGGATGAACCTCAGACATCAGAGAAACTGGTTGGACAGTTGTTGCTCCCGTCTCTGCTATGAGGAAATGTCTTTACTTCGGATCACACCCGGCAAAGATGATAAAACACATTATTAAGCTAATTAATCTAATAAATGTAATGGCACAAGCATTAAAAAGATCAAAGTAAGACAGGAAGCAGGCAGTTACATCACTTCCTGACACTTTATGAATGTTACCTGTGCATAGAACGAAATAAAAGTCAGATATTCCCATTTCTAAATGCTCAGCATTTTCCCCAATAGTCTTGCAAATTAAATTTTTATGTCTATTCGTGTTGTTATTGTTAGTCTTTTTTTTGTATGTGGTTTTTAAGAGTTTTTTTTGTGTGTAAATCTTTATACCAGATGCTTCTTTTAAACTCAAACTTCCATTTTCAGAAGAAAAAAGACTTTTTCTATATCTAAAATTAATGCTTAAGTTTGAAGCCAGCAGCAATATATCATGTTTGTTCATTGACTCTGTAGTCAGGTTTTAATTACTATTGCTATCATTTTCTGTATTAACCGCAGCCTGCAGAAATGCTGTGAAACCCATCAGCTGTCATGTCTGTGTGGAACGGGTCTGACCAGCTGGACTGAAGACAGACGTGCAGTTCAGAGGAAATAATGTGAGGCATCTTTCAGCATTTTCTCTTTAAAACTCCTCCCACTTCATTCCATCATCTACAGATTAAATCAGTTTCTTGTTTCAGTGAAACAAACAGGTAATCCCATCCTGCTGTCTTTCATTTTTACTCTTCTGGAGAATGTCAACAGAAAGAAATGAAAACTTATCTTGACTCCATAGAACAAGCATGACATCATCTCTACAACAGGAAAAACAAGGTCTGTGGTCTGAGAACAGCAGAAATCATGATGGGCTCCATCAGGCCTAACCCTAACCCCAACCCTAACCCCAACCCTAACCCCAACCCTAACCCCAACCCTAACCCCAACCCTAACCCCAACCCGAACCCTGAGCAGCCCGGTCCGGCGGGGGCATTCGCAGTACGTACAGACGGTTTCCCCTGCGCTCTGTCTTTTCTCGACCGTCTTTATGTTCTATCAAACGTTAAGATAGTCTTCTACCTAACGCTTCATCCAATTTCCTTATGGGGATCTCTCATATGACTGATCCCACCCTGAAAGGAGGAATAGTGAGTAAACCAGACTGTCATTTTTCACTCCAACTTAGATTCATTCCAGCTGATGGTCTATATCTTGTGGAGCTACTTCAACCCGAAAAGAGAGAATAATAGAAATTCAGACTTTTAGTTCGTCCTTCCACTTAATGTTCCACTACTGCTTGATTTCACTCCAGTTTTTGATTGGTGTCTTGTTGGATTTCTTGAACCCATAAACCAGGAAGAATATTGAGAAAAACAAACTTTCAGGTCATCCCTCCACTTCGTTTTCTACTCCAACTTAGCTTCAATCCAGTTTAGGATAAAATTCTAGAAGATTTACTTTGACTAACCTCGTCCTACATTTCCTACACCCTCACTGGCTTCTTGGCTAAACCTAACCATTGCCACTTTGACCTTTCATGACCTTTCCACAAGTCCTTCCCTAATGCTAACCACCTTGGAGAGCACACCTAAGTTTCCTCAGATTGTAGGATGATTGCTTTTTTGCAACTTTCAGGATTGTAGTTTCACAATTGGAGTCTTTGTTATTTTAATTGACATAACTTTACTTCATATCTTTTTAGTTTGAACATGAACCTTACCTTAGCTTATTTCTCAATTATTAGATAGATTCATTCAGTAATTTCTGTTTTCAGTTTTATTCCATATTGCTACTTCATTTATAAAGTTATCTACTTATTTAATTAATTTTACTGTTAGGAATAAAATTAGTCAGCTTAGACTTCATCAGGTTTTCTTTGGGTTAGATGGGATTTTAAGACAGTCAAGTGAAAGCTTTCTCATCTCCTTGGGCACGACCAGAGGACGAGGGGGTTGCGGATGGCGTGCGGCCCGTGCATTACATTCAGCTGTCGAAAAAGTTTTTATCAACCTAACTGGACCTAACTGGTCCACTTACCTCTGACCTTAACTCTTTCACTGTTAAATTAGGAATTATCTCTTTTTTTTCCCAATTTGTGAAACGTAACACCACCTGATTTCAACATTTCTCAAGTGAAGACCTTCTTTAGTTTCCTGATTAAAGTCTCACATCCACAGACAGGAAATCCTCTCAGATTCTCTGTTTTCACATCAAACTTTGAGAAATATTATTAAAAAAATAATCTTTTACACTCATCTATCAGTTCCTGAAACTCATTATTGTGTCAGAAAAAGTATGGTTTACTGGCGCCACCATGTGGAAATTGGTGAGTATTAAAGTTTTGGGTCAGATCATAATTTTATTTAAATAAAGGAGGCAGCTGGAATTATTTTTGCTCATATTTGCATCATTTTTTTTTTTTACAGTTTTCTCTCATTCCTTAGATTAAAACCAAATGTTCATATATTTGAAACAAACATTTTCACAGTTGTTTCAATAATAAATAAAAAAAAACATATTTTCTGATTGCTGAACTTTGACCTGACAGAACATGAATAAAAATCTAAATAAAATGTATTAAAGATGTTTAAAAAATAAGTGTCACAAGGTAAAACATTATCGTGAAATAAAAAAACAATGAACAAATCAATACTTTTACAATTATTCTGTTTTTATTTCATGGGTAAATTTATTTATTTGATGTATCATTTATTAATTGTTAATAACAGTATTTATTTACTCAATTTTGAATGAAATAGCTCTCAATAAAACAACCATTATAAAAATTTCTGAATGAAAAAACTGGATTATTGATCAGAGGATTTAGAAATATTGCCCCACATCGAGCAGCAAAGAAATCAGTCAGTCAAAGCAAAATAAGAGCATAAAATATATAAAAACAAAATAAAGAATAAAATACCAGAAGCTATTTTTCTGAGATGAAAAATATCTAAGAAATAAATATTTAATGTCATATTCATTTACATTAAATATTTAATTTAGGAACCATGACAAGAGAGTTCATCCTTATATTGTTTGAATTTGTTTTATTTAATTAGATTGATATCTTTAACGCATATTGGCCGTAATCTGACTAAACATTTTTAGACATTAGACACGTCGAGTCCGGGTCCAACAGCGACACCTGGTGGTGCACGGGTTGAAGTGCAGACTAGTGACAGAGCAGAAGATCATTTGATAAATGAGCTCAGAGGTTGGAAGGCCTCTGTTCCATCACCCTAATCTTCATCTCCCTCCACAGATTCTCTACCAAGTTGCCACTCTGGCTCAATTTCAGACATATTACTCAAAATCCACCAAAACATGTTAAGATTAAATATTTGCTATGTGGGATTGAACTGTGCCCTTTTATTTGACATTTTTTGAGCTCACAGTTTGTTTTATCTGACCTCATGTTGTGTGCTGAGTAAATATATGAATGCAACTTGATATTTATGAAGGGTGTTGTTTGTTCGGTGCTCTGATTCCTGGGAAACAAGAAGCTCTTTCCAGTGAAAGTTCCATTGAATCACAATGCAGACAGGATCTGCTCAGTGTTTGTTGTTTGAGTCTGGGTGTCTGATCCTGTTCGCTTATTAGGGCCGGGAGGCGTCAGTCTGTTCAGAACAACACTGAAGCTGCAGGCTGAAACTCACCACACAGAGACGAGAAGGTAATTCTTCAACACAACTTTGATGATGATGATGGTTGTCTTGTCATTTTCACATGATGTTTGTGTTGCAATTCATTATGCATTAGTTTTCTGTCTGTAGAAAATAAATTTATCAGCGCAGGTTGCATCCCAGTCGTCTCCATCATGAAGATCCTGAGTTTGTCTTGGTTTGGATTCACCGTGTTGACTTTAGTCCAGGCAGTCGGTGAGTATTTACTGCAGCAGTATGTGCTGGTATTTTGTTTCTTTTATTTCTTTGAAATATAGAGTGACTACTCTGTAGAAAACCTAAAAACATTAATTACATTTTCTTTTGAGAATAAATGGTTGCAATTACAGAGAGCCTGGTCGGCTGTCAGATATCTTTGCAGCTGCAGTTCTGGAAAATCTTTATTTATTTTGCACTTGTTTTGTGTCTGCGTCTCTGCATTTTATTGCCATGACCTTCACTTGACCTTAGTTATCTATCCTGGGTTAAAATTTCACAATAAGCTCTGTCTGCTGCCAGCTCTTGTGCATGGAGCCCGTTTGTGTGCAAACCTCAATTTTGTGTCTCACAAAACTGTTTTTGACTGTTTGTAAACCTGCAGTTTCCTAAACCTGAACAATATAATTTTCTAAATGAATTGGATTAAATAGAAATTTTAAAACAGGTGCAACATAAGAGAGCCCCATTACTTAGGAACAAAAACATGTTTTGAAAAGAAATGGCATGAAAAGTGTCTCTGGATTCATGTATAATTGTGGAAAATAAAGTTGAAAAGTCTCATAAATTTACTGATTTAAACAATATTTGCATTTTGATTTATGATTATTTTCATTTATTCATATTTTTCAACCTGTCGGCAGCCATTCCAGTCACAGACGATGATGCTGGTCCAACAGGAGGTAAATGTTCTTCAGTTTTTTCTTTCATCAACTATTCTTTGTGTTTCCTGTCAATAAGGGAAACATGACGATGTTTCACAACAAGCTCTGTAGAATCGATACTGTGTGTGTAAACCTCACTTTTCATAAAGTTGTTTTGATTGCTTAAAGAATCAGGAGTGAATTAAATATAGCATTTGATAGACAATGTTATATTGTCTTTGAAATATAACATGAATGTAAAAGTAAAGTTATTTAATTGAAGACTCTTCTGAACGATGCTCTGTCTGCAGACGCTCCATTCGATGATTTCTATCCTCATCATCCACCAACCCAAGGTAAGTCTTTTTTATTATTAGTTTTATTTACATTATTCTGTTTGCATCATGTCATTTTGACAAAGAAAGAAGATGAATATAATCATAAATACATTTATAAAACTTTAAATTGTAAATGTGAATATAAATAAAGTGTTTTTCTTTAGATTACGGTCATGACTGGATGGAAGGAACTGGTCAGTTTCCCCCCATTTTTAACGTATTCAGAATCATATTCTCTAACTTGTCAGCATTAATAAATCTAATATACCTGTAACTATTTAAAGATGGAGACTCTCACTGGGACTTCTCTTGCCCTGATGGATGGTCGATGCACAGCACGCAGTGCCTCCTCTTTGTTCCCCAGAATCTGACCTGGAATGAGGCAAAGGTAACCGAGAAAAGACATTTCACATCAAAATGGTAAAAATATTATATTATTAATTGAATATTGGCTCCAATTAACTGTTCAAGCTTCTCTATTCATGCTGCTAAATTCATGTTCATAGTTTAGCACCTTTGTGTTTTTACAGTTCACAGTCCCAATGCAAAGCAACTTTTGATTATTTAGCATTTGGGTCATTTGGACTTGATAGAGCTTTAAAGGAATACGGGCCGTTTCCCGGGCTGAACATTTCTGTCCTGCCACTCACTGAAGACTCACCTGCTGATTCTATAGCAAGTTTAGACACAACAGTGATATTGTTCTCCATTTGGTTTTCAACTGTGTGTAATTTCTGTCTTGTCTTTAGAAAAACTGTGCATCCAAAGGTGACGGTTCACTTGCTGCTGTGTCTAGTGACATTCAAGCTGATGAGATTTACAATGAGATGGAAAGAGCTGGGCATCATGGCGGACAAGTGTGGGTTGGAGGCAGCAGAACATCCCAGGTAGATAAATCATCCTTACACAGTTCAAAACCAGGTTTTGTCTTCAATCTGAAGTTGAGTTGGTTTGATTTTTGTCCTGTAGGTCGATCCCTCTTTCCCTGCCTTTGCTAAGTTTTGCAATGAGCAAAGTTCACACCATGAGAACGACTGTCTGCAGATCTCTTTTGGTGGGAAATCAAACTTAAACATTTCATTTCACATTGAACTAACACATATTCTCATTAACCAAATATGCAGAAAAGTGGTTTGTACTGTGGATCACAGAACTGAATATTGTGTTTGTCCTGTTTGCAGATCATGGCTCTGGATGCCTGGATGCCACCAAATGTGACGCTGAGCTCCCGTCTGTCTGTGCAATCCTCCTCTACTAGATGAACTTGCATGGTGTCCATACAATTAGCATGGACACCAGCCTCTCATTTCCTACATTTCCTAAAATGTTTCTGCTCTGTTGCTTTAATATAACAAAAACTGACCAAAGGCACAGACACCTGCTGCTTGTAATGCAGGAGAAAGCAACCTGTCCCTTCTGACAACTTTCCAAATAAAATCTTTAGCAATGATAAAAAAAGAAATGTGTGTGTGTGTGTGTGTGTGTATTAAAGCAACACATTTTTCTCCCTTCCATTTTTTAGAGTTTCTGTTTCATTGAATACAGTTACATAATCTGTACTGCTTAAATTTACATGTTTAAAAAAATCTAACATGCCTTTAAATTAGATTTTATTCTTGCAGATGGTAACTTTAGTACGTGTCAGAGCGATTACTGTCGTCACATTTTGACATCTTCCTAAAGTTTGCCTTATTAAAACAACTCTATCTCTAATTAAACACCTCACTCCTATCTCTCTGTGAGGAGTGTCTGTGACCTTTGACCCGCTCCTTTCTGTTTGTGCAGTGTTAGTCTCTCTGATGCCATCTGAGGTCACCACAGCTCCACGTTTCTCCCGACAGAGAAACCCAGTGGGGGGCCGAAGTTGGATTTGGATTTATGTGTCCTCAAAATTATTTTAGGTTTTTGACTTTTCATGCTCAGCTGTGTAATCAAACTTTGAGCATTTTTATCAAAGAACTGTATCAATGTACACAAGAATCCAGAAACACAATATTCACATCGGAAATCTTTCTATTAAATATGAGGACAATCCTGCTTTACGCCTCTCTGTATAAACAGTTTTCCTTGGACAAGAAAAGGTGACAATAGTGGGGGGTTTTTTTCCTGTTGTCACATGCAACTGACAAAAATGTTATCAGTTCATAAGCTTGAAAAATATTGTATCAACAAACTGCAGGTTGTGAAAGAGAACAAACATAACTTCACACGCTGCACATTAACCAATATTTAGTTTTCCTGAAATTCAAAGGTTTACTGGCGCCACCATGTGGAAATTGGTGAGTATTAAAGTTTTGGGTCAGATCATAATTTTATTTAAATAAAGGAGGCAGCTGGAATTATTTTTGCTCATATTTGCATCATTTTTTTTACAGTTTTCTCTCATTCCTTAGATTAAAAACAAATGTTCATATATTTGAAACACACATTTTCACAGTCGTTTCAATAATTAATAAAAAAAACATATTTTCTGATTGCTGAATTTTGACCTGACAGAACATGAATAAAAATCTAAATAAAATGTATAAAAGATGTTTAAAAAATATAAGTGTCACAAGGCAAAACATTATCGTGAAATAAAAAAAAATGAACAAATCAATACTTTTACAATTACTCTGTTTTTATTTCATGGGTAAATTTATTTATTTTGATGTATCATTTATTAATAGTTAATAACAGTATTTATTTACTCAATTTTGAATGAAATAGCTCTCAATAAAACAACCATTATAAAAATTTCTGAATGAAAAAACTGGATTATTGATCAGAGGATTTAGAAATATTGCCCCACATCGAGCAGCAAAGAGATCAGTCAGTCAAAGCAAAATAAGAGCATAAAATATATAAAAACAAAATAAAGAATAAAATACCAGAAGCTATTTTTCTGAGATGAAAAATATCTAAGAAATAAATATTTAATGTCATATTTATTTACATTAAATATTTAATTTAGGAACCATGACAAGAGAGTTCATCCTTATATTGTTTGAATTGTTTTATTTAATTAGATATCTTTAACGCATATTGGCCGTAATCTGACTAAACCTTTTTAGACATTAGACACGTCGCGTCCGGGTCCAACAGCGACACCTGGTGGGTGCACGGGTTGAAGTAGTGACTAGTGAGCAGAAGATCATTTGATAAATGAGCTCAGAGGTTGGAAGGCCTCTGTTCCATCACCCTAATCTTCATCTCCCTCCACAGATTCTCTACCAAGTTGCCACTCTGGCTCAATTTCAGACATATTTCTCAAAATCCACCAAAACATGTTGATAAGATTAAATATTTGCTAGTGGGATTGAACTGTGCCCTTTTATTTGACATTTTTTGAGCTCACAGTTTGTTTTATCTGACCTCTGACCTCATGTTGTGTGCTGAGTAAATATATGAATGCAACTTGATATTTATTGAAGGGTGTTTTGTTCAGTGCTCTGATTCCTGGAAACAAGAAGTGTTTTGTTTTTGAGTCTGGGTGTCTGATCCTGTTCGCTTATTAGGGCCGGGAGGCGTCAGTCTGTTCAGAACAACACTGAAGCTGCAGGCTGAAACTCTACGGAAGAGGATTAGGGCCACTGGAAAAATCCTCATCAGAGCCCCTGTGCAGCTCTGGAATTGAGTACATCACCACAGGTCGGCCCGATACTGCACCCCCTTGCCCGGATTTTGTGAGTTCCATGTGTTCACATCATCATCAAGGTCATCCTGCATAAAAACAAACCATAAATGTTTTAAACTAAAAATGTCTGTAGCTTTTGCTAATGATGAGATATATCAGCATACATAGAAAGTGACCTCTAATCAAACCAAGCAGCAAGAACAAAATTGCAATTCCAAAACATTTTATTCTGCACATAAATGATTCCCAACGTATGGTAAAACTTAGTAATTTATGGATAAAACTTATTTTTAAAACTACCAAAGGAGTTTAGGAGAACACATTCCCAGTAATTTAAACCATTTTTATTTTTAGTAAACATAAGATATGCTTTTAATACCTTTTTGAAAAAAAACATTGCAGTGTACCAGTATACACTTTTACCTGAATAAGATTAAGAAGCAGAATTGGATAAGGCTTTTATCCAAAAAATCTCCTGTGAAGTGACCATCATCCAGAAAGGTTTGAAATAAGTTCATCCAAAACTGTGCGCTCTGTTTACGGAGGGTGGACCACCATCCTTCAATGCGCTGGTTGGATGTACTTCTTCTGTAAAGGAAACTTTTGTCCCTGCAAAACTGTCTGTGGTTTCGCCTCAGAAATATCTGCATTTGTTCAACACAAATGTTTTCTGTGCCTCTGTCGGCACGTATCCTCTCAGACATCCTTTGACACATGAAACGGTTTTCAAAAAATCTTGCAATCAGTTTTGGGTCATTGTTCGTGGTATAAGCCTCCATCCATAAAACATGTCGGCTAAAACCATCTATACAGCCACTGATAGCAATGCCATAAGGTTTTAGTTTATCGTAGCCATCCATATGCCAGAGCGCATTTGGTCCTCTGCAATTGTACTGACGTCTTCTCAACCGTCGTGCTCGTCTCAGTTCCACACCTTCTGGGTCAAACAATTTGATTAATTGTCTCACAGTGTCTTGTGACACCACAATCCATGTTGAATCGCACGAAGATGTAGCCACTGATAACCTTGCATTTGTCCATTAGTCATTATTTGTTGTTGGACAAAGGCTAGCACTTCTTCAAGGTCGGACTAATTCTTTCTTCGAAACAGCCCAAGTCTTCTGCAAATTCTTTTTAGAGTACGATTACTTAATATAGTATGATGACTGTGCGCTAAAATTTGAAGGATTTCTTTGTTATTTAAAGAGAGTCTGAAGTAAAGCCTAATGATATCATCCAAATCTGACATTTTCGAGCTTCTTTCACTTTAAGAAGGGAACAGTCTTAAACAGAAGGCCTTTTTTCCTCTTGGACAGTTTGTTGATTTAGTAGAAGTTTAAAACAGCAAATCCATCGCCGTGATTTTTCAGCTTTGCTGCGGCATCACAGTCAATCTGCACAGAAAAAGATGAGAAAGGACAATTACTTAGTCTGCAAATCAACGTCAAAGTTACCTTTAAGATTGTATCCTTACTTTCCTGCTTAAAGCCATTTATTGTTTGGGGAGAATTACAATAATAGCAGCAGTAAATGTTCAGTCCTCTATTTTACTGAAAAAGAGGAAGGACTGGATTGATTAGCTGTGTTTATATGCTCATATAAACACAGATTCATAAATATACAGTCTACTTAAGATAAAAAGTATCAGGCATAAAAACACACAAGGAAATATTAACAACTTCTTTTTATTACAAAAGTTAAATATCACATTAACTTTGATTTAGTCAAATGAAGCCTATCGTTTCTGCACCCAAGCGATATATGTGCTGATAGTTTTAGTTCAGGGATTGACATGCAATTTCAGTCTGAGCTGACACATGACAAATGATTTAGTGAATCTCATAATGTCACTTTTTCCAACGTCGTAACACAAACATATAATATACATAAATAAAATAGCACAGATAGGCGCATTAGTTGGTGTTGGTAAATATATCGGTAGTTGTATGATATTTTCCTTTTAAATGTATGCATATATAAACGTTTGTCACTTTGTACTATAGTTTCTGTCCTCTACTGAACTAAAAGTTGCAGTTTAACACAGCAGACATCTTATTTAGGTGGCTGACATATACAGCTAACCTTAGTTTAATTGTAAAACATTTAAACAGAAGAACAATAAAATAAACATACCAAACACTTTATAGACAATTCCAGCAATTAACAGCTGTTATATCCTTTATTCATCCGTGTGATCTAACATTGTAATCAGCTTATTCCTTTAACCGCGTAAGCTAACAAACATGCTAACAGCTAGCTATAACCGTTCGGCTTTAGACACTGAACTATCCCATTTGATTTCTCACCTTTTGTTCTTCCATTAGTGCAATGGACGCTTCTGGTACTCTTCTGGCACGTAAAAGTCGCTTAAATCAGACATTTTCTCCAGAACATTGGCTGTCCGCCGTAACTCAACCTGCGTCTGTGTGGCTGCTGCTGGCGCCCATCAGTCCGAATTCTGACTTTTTTTTTGTTATTGTTTGTTTTTTTCTGGCCCACAATTTTTTTTTTTTTTCTGGCCCACAAATTTTTTTTATTTTTCTGTCACTGATTTTTTTTTTTTTCTGGCCCACAATTTTTTGTTTTTTTCTCTCACTGATTTTTTTTTTCTGCGCACAATTTTTTTTTTTTTTTTTTTTCTGGCCGCAAAAAAAAAATTTCTTCTTTTTTAAACCTTTTCTGACCACTGAAAAAAAAATTTTCGGACTTTTTTTTTTTTTTTTTCCAGTGGCCCTAATCCTCTTCCGTAGAAACTCACCACACAGAGACGAGAAGGTAATTCTTCAACACAACTTTGATGATGATGATGGTTGTCTTGTCATTTTCACATGATGTTTGTGTTGCAATTCATTATGCATTAGTTTTCTGTCTGTAGAAAATAAATTTATCAGCGCAGGTTGCATCCCAGTCGTCTCCATCATGAAGATTCTGAGTTGTCTTGGTTTGGATTCACCGTGTTGACCGTCATGTCCTCAACCTCCAACGCCTTGCCGGAGTCGACACTCAGCTAAACTCCTCTCCAAAGGAATCACACAGACTGGAGCGCTTGCGTTGAGTCTTTAATGAAGCCGGTTGGAGTAGGTGTAAAACTATGAAATAAATATACAAACTTTGAATAATACACAGCAGCGGCCAATACAGCACTCACAAGTACACTAGGTCGCCACAACGAATATTAACATAAATCTTATACGTACCGACAGTGCTTTCTAGGACCAATTGTATAACAGTAGCCGTGTTACTGCGAAAACCCATGCGTTGCGTTGTTCTGACCTGTCTGCTTTCTAATGACATCATTAACGCTCGACTCTTAAAGTGATGTACATAAATTTCACCACTAGATGGCGACATTGAACGCTTAAATCTTATAACTTGTAGAATGTCAACTGACATAACATCACATTGACTTTAGTCCATGCAGTCGGTGAATATTTACTGCAGCAGTATGTGCTGGTATTTTGTTTCTTTTATTTCTTTGAAATATAGTAACTACTCTGTAGAAAACCTAAAACATTAATTACATTTTCTTTTGAGAATAAAATGTTGCAATTACAGATTGCCTGGTCGGCTGTCAGATATCTTTGCAGCTGCAGTTCTGGAAAATCTTTATTTATTTTGCACTTGTTTTGTGCCTGCGTCTCTGCATTTTATTGCCATGACCTTCACTTGACCTTAGTTATCTATCCTGGTTAAAATTTCACAAAAGCTCTGTCTGCTGCCAGCTCTTGTGCATGGAGCCCGTTTGTGTGCAAACCTCATTTTGTGTCTCACGAAACTGTTTTTGACTGTTTGTAAACCTGCAGTTTCCTAAACCTGAACAATAATTTGTTCTAAATGAATTGGATTAAATAGAAATTTTAAAACAGGTGCAACATAAGAGAGCCCCATTACTTAGGAACAAAAAATGTTTTGAAAAGAAATGGCATGAAAGTGTCTCTGGATTCATGTAATTGTGGAAAATAAAGTTGAAAAGTCTCATAAAATTTACTGATTTAAACAATATTTGCATTTTTGATTTATGATTATTTTCATTTATTCATATATTTTCAACCTGTCGGCAGCCATTCCAGTCACAGACGATGATGCTGGTCCAACAGCAGGTAAATGTTCTTCAGTTTTTGACTTATTATTTATTCATTTCACATTGAACTAACACATATTCTCATTAACCAATATGCAGAAAAGTGGTTTGTACTGTGGATCACAGAACTGAATATTGTGTTTGTCCTGTTTGCAGATCATGGCTCTGGATGCCTGGATGCCACCAAATGTGACGCTGAGCTCCCGTCTGTCTGTGCAATCCTCTCTACTAGATGAACTTGCATGGTGTCCATACAAGTTAGCATGGACACCAGCCTCTCATTTCCTACATTTCCTAAAATGTTTCTGCTCTGTTGCTTTAATATAACAAAAACTGACCAAAGGCACAGACACCTGCTGCTTGTAATGCAGGAGAAAGCAACCTGTCCCTTCTGACAACTTTCCAAATAAAATCTTTAGCAATGATAAAAAAAAAGTGTGTGTGTGTGTGTATATTAAAGCAACACATTTTTCTCCCTTCCATTTTCTTAGAGTTTCTGTTTCATTGAATACAGTTACATAATCTGAACTGCTTAAATTTACATGTTTAAAAAAACATCTAACATGCCTTTAAATTAGATTTTATTCTTGCAGATGGTAACTTTAGTACGTGTCAGAGCGATTACTGTCGTCACATTTTGACATCTTCCTAAAGTTTGCCTTATTAAAACAACTCTATCTCTAATTAAACACCTCACTCCTATCTCTCTGTGAGGAGTGTCTGTGACCTTTGACCGCCCCTTTCTGTTTGTGCAGAGTTAGTCTCTCTGATGCCATCTGAGGTCACCACAGCTCCACGTTTCTCCCGACAGAGAAACCCAGTGGGGGGCCGAAGTTGGATTTGGATTTATGTGTCCTCAAAATTATTTTAGGTTTTTGACTTTTCATGCTCAGCTGTGTAATTAAACTTTGAGCATTTTTATCAAAGAACTGTATCAATGTACACAAGAATCCAGAAACACAATATTCACATCGGAAATCTTTCTGTTAAATATGAGGACAATCCTGCTTACGCCTCTCTGTATAAACAGTTTTCCTTGGACAAGAAAAGGTGACAATAGTGGGTTTTTTTCCTGTTGTCACATGCAACTGACAAAAATGTTATCAGTTCATAAGCTTGAAAAATATTGTATCAACAAACTGCAGGTTGTGAAAGAGAACAAACATAACTTCACACGCTGCACATTAAACCAATATTTAGTTTTCCTGAAATTCAAAGGTGGAGATGTTTTCAGAGCAAACAGACTGACAGCTCAGTTACACTGGACCTGATTCACCTTCTTTCTTTCTTTCTTGGGAACCTTTTAACTTTTTACAAGTTTTTAGTAAGAAAAAACAAAAAGTGTAAATGTTCTGCAGATTGTTTTTTGTAGATCATATATATGTCACCATTAAAATTCAACCGTTCAGCATAACCTCCAGTGAAATATGATAAAGCTGAATGATAAGCAAACAGCTTTTATCCTCAGAGCTTCTTAGTTCATGACCTTGACCTGAAAACGTCTCTGCAGTCATAAACATTTACAGCCCACAGCAACATATTAAAGCACAACCTGCATATGCAGATATAAGATGAGGAAACTCATGAAAACCTTCATAGATGACATACTACACATTTATATTTAATCACTTTTCTTTTTACATTGATCAATCTGATATTGATTTATTCTGAGGAATATTTTTTATAACATTACTTTATATCTGGATTTGCATGATATTTAAACCGAATCTAAAGACCAGCTTTATTCCAGAAACCATCAATGTGAGCTGTAGCTTATTATTTTATTCATTTCCTAACTTTTCCTCATTTTCTTTCATTGACCTAAACATAATAACTACAAGGATTTTTATTCCATGCAACCGCAGAATAACCTGTTCATGTTAACATTTGCAGGACTGGAGGAATGCAGACTGAGGCCACTGCCTAGAGGAACCAAAGCTAACGTTCTGTTTTCTCAGAGCTCACAGGAAACACAGCACAGCTGAGACAATGTGGTCCACAACATGCCTGATATAAGATGAGAGTTTTTATGGCAATCTTAATTATTCTACATCAACACACGGCTGCAGTCAATTGCAACAACTGAATCAAAGTTGGTGATTCAATTACATCTCAGTCAAGATGTAACAAATATGTTACATCTTAACATCTCTGTTACTTTTTGACAGAGATGTTAAGTTGCAACAAAGATGTTAAATCTTAACATATCTGTTAAAATGTTTCTTTCTTTTCATTCTTTGTTTTGTTCTTTCTGTCTTTCATCCTTTCTCTCATTGTTTGTGGTCATATTCAGTGCATCTGTTTTCACCTCCTCTGACGAGGGGGCTGCGGATGGCGTGCGGCGGCCCGTGCATTACATTCAGCTGTCGAAAAAGTTTTTACCAACCTAACTGGACCTAACTGGTCCACTTACCTCTGACCTTAACTCTTTCACTGTTAAATTAGGAATTATCTCTTTTTTTCCCCAATTTGTGAAACGTAACACCACCTGATTTCAACATTTCTCAAGTGAAGACCTTCTTTAGTTTCCTGATTAAAGTCTCACATCCACAGACAGGAAATCCTCTCAGATTCTCTGTTTTCACATCAAACTTTGAGAAATATTATTAAAAAATATAATCTTTTACACTTATCTATCAGTTCCTGAAACTCATTATTGTGTCAGAAAAAGTATGGTTTACTGGCGCCACCATGTGGAAATTGATGAGTATTAAAGTTTTGGGTCAGATCATAATTTTATTTAAATAAAGGAGGCAGCTGGAATTATTTTTGCTCATATTTGCATCATTTTTTTTTACAGTTTTCTCTCATTCCTTAGATTAAAAACAAATGTTCATATATTTGAAACAAACATTTTCACAGTCGTTTCAATAAAAAAAACATATTTTCTGATTGCTGAATTTTGACCTGACAGAACATGAATAAAAATCTAAATAAAATGTATTAAAGATGTTTAAAAAATATAAGTGTCACAAGGTAAAACATTATCGTGAAATAAAAAAACAATGAACAAATCAATACTTTTACAATTATTCTGTTTTTATTTCATGGGTAAATTTATTTATTTGATGTATCATTTATTAATTGTTAATAACAGTATTTATTTACTCAATTTTGAATGAAATAGCTCTCAATAAAACAACCATTATAAAAATTTCTGAATGAAAAAACTGGATTATTGATCAGAGGATTTAGAAATATTGCCCCACATCGAGCAGCAAAGAAATCAGTCAGTCAAAGCAAAATAAGAGCATAAAATATATAAAAACAAAATAAAGAATAAAATACCAGAAGCTATTTTTCTGAGATGAAAAATATCTAAGAAATAAATATTTAATGTCATATTCATTTACATTAAATATTTAATTTAGGAACCATGACAAGAGAGTTCATCCTTATATTGTTTGAATTTGTTTTATTTAATTAGATTGATATCTTTAACGCATATTGGCCGTAATCTGACTAAACCTTTTTAGACATTAGACACGTCGAGTCCGGTCCAACAGCGACACCTGATGGTGCACGGGTTGAAGTGCAGACTAGTGACAGAGCAGAAGATCATTTGATAAATGAGCTCAGAGGTTGGAAGGCCTCTGTTCCATCACCCTAATCTTCATCTCCCTCCACAGATTCTCTACCAAGTTGCCACTCTGGCTCAATTTCAGACATATTACTCAAAATCCACCAAAACATGTTGATAAGATTAAATATTTGCTATGTGGGATTGAACTGTGCCCTTTTATTTGACATTTTTTGAGCTCACAGTTTGTTTTATCTGACCTCTGACCTCATGTTGTGTGCTGAGTAAATATATGAATGCAACTTGATATTTATGAAGGGTGTTGTTTGTTCGGTGCTCTGATTCCTGGAAACAAGAAGTGTTTGTTGTTTGAGTCTGGGTGTCTGATCCTGTTCGCTTATTAGGGCCGGGAGGCGTCAGTCTGTTCAGAACAACACTGAAGCTGCAGGCTGAAACTCTACGGAAGAGGATTAGGGCCACTGGAAAAATCCTCCATCAGAGCCCCTGTGCAGCTCTGGAAATGAGTACATCACCACAGGTCGGCCCGATACTGCACCCCCACTTGCCCGAATTTTGTGAGTTCCATGTGTTCACATCATCATCAAGGTCATCCTGCATAAAAACAAACCATAAATGTTTAAAACTAAAAATGTAACTGTAGCTTTTGCTAAAGATGAGGCATATATTAATCAGCATACATAGAAAGTGACCTCTAATCAAAACCAAGCAGCAAGAACAAAATTGCAATTCCAAAACATTTTATCTGCACATAAAATGATTCCCCAACGTATGGTAAAACTTAGTAATTTATGGATAAAACTTATTTTTAAAACTACACCAAAGGAGTTTAGGAGAACACATTCCCAAGAAATTTAAACCATTTTTATTTTTAGTAAACATACCAGAAGATATGCTTTTAATACCTTTTTTGAAAAAAAAACATTACAGTGTACCAGTATACACTTTTACCTGAATAAGATTAAGAAAGCAGAATTGGATAAGGCTTTTATCCAAAAAATCTCCTGTGAAGTGACCATCATCCAGAAAGGTTTGAAATAAGTTCATCCAAAACTGTGCGCTCTGTTTACGGAGGGTGGACCACCATCCTTCAATGCGCTGGTTGGATGTACTTCTTCTGTAAAGGAAACTTTTGTCCCCTGCAAAACTGTCTGTGTGGTTTCGCCTCAGAAATATCTGCATTTGTTCAACACAAATGTTTTCTGTGCCTCTGTCGGCACGTATCCTCTCAGGACATCCTTTGACACATGAAACGGTTTTCAAAAAATAACTTGCAATCAGTTTTGGGTCATTGTTCGTGGTATAAGCCTCCATCCATAAAACATGTCGGCTAAAACCATCTATACAGCCACTGATAGCAATGCCATAAGGTTTTAGTTTATCGTAGCCATCCATATGCCAGAGCGCATTTGGTCCTCTGCAATTGTACTGACGTCTTCTCAACCGTCGTGCTCGTCTCAGTTCCACACCTTCTGGGTCAAACAATTTGATTAATTGTCTCACAGTGTCTTGTGACACCACAAATCCATGTTGAATCGCACGAAGATGTAGCCACTGATAACCTTGCATTTGTCCATTAGTCATTATTTGTTGTTGGACAAAGGCTAGCACTTCTTCAAGGTCGGACTAATTCTTTCTTCGAAACAGCCCAAGTCTTCTGCAAATTCTTTTTAGAGTACGATTACTTAATATAGTATGATGACTGTGCGCTAAAATTTGAAGGATTTCTTTGTTATTTAAAGAGAGTCTGAAGTAAAGCCTAATGATATCATCCAAATCTGACATTTTCGAGCTTCTTTCACTTTAAGAAGGAACAGTCTTAAACAGAAGGCCTTTTTTCCTCTTGGACAGTTTGTTGATTTAGTAGAAGTTTAAAACAGCAAATCCATCGCCGTGATTTTTCAGCTTTGCTGCGGCATCACAGTCAATCTGCACAGAAAAAGATGAGAAAGGACAATTACTTAGTCTGCAAATCAACGTCAAAGTTACCTTTAAGATTGTATCCTTACTTTCCTGCTTAAAGCCATTTATTGTTTGGGGAGAATTACAATAATAGCAGCAGTAAATGTTCAGTCCTCTTTTACTGAAAAAGAGGAAGGACTGGATTGATTAGCTGTGTTTATATGCTCATATAAACACAGATTCATAAATATACAGTCTACTTAAGATAAAAAGTATCAGGCATAAAAACACACAAGGAAATATTAACAACTTCTTTTTATTACAAAAGTTAAATATCACATTAACTTTGATTTAGTCAAATGAAGCCTATCGTTTCTGCACCCGAGCGATATATGTGCTGATAGTTTAGTTCAGGGATTGACATGCAATTTCAGTCCTGAGCTGACACATGACAAATGATTTAGTGAATCTCATAATGTCACTTTTTCCAACGTCGTAACACAAACATATAATATACATAAATAAAATAGCACAGATAGGCGCATTAGTTGGTGTTGGTAAATATATCGGTAGTTGTATGATATTTTCCTTTTAAATGTATGCATATATAAACGTTTGTCACTTTGTACTATAGTTTCTGTCCTCTACTGAACTAAAAGTTGCAGTTTAACACAGCAGACATCTTATTTAGGTGGCTGACATATACAGCTAACCTTAGTTTAATTGTAAAACATTTAAACAGAAGAACAATAAAATAAACATACCAAACACTTTATAGACAATTCCAGCAATTAACAGCTGTTATATCCTTTATTCATCCGTGTGATCTAACATTGTAAATCAGCTTATTCCTTTAACCGCGTAAGCTAACAAACATGCTAACAGCTAGCTATAACCGTTCGGCTTTAGACACTGAACTATCCCATTTGATTTCTCACCTTTTGTTCTTCCATTAGTGCAATGGACGCTTCTGGTACTCTTCTGGCACGTAAAAAGTCGCTTAAATCAGACATTTTCTCCAGAACATTGGCTGTCCGGCGTAACTCAACCTGCGTCTGTGTGGCTGCTGCTGGCGCCCATCAGTCCGAATTCTGACTTTTTCTTTTGTTATTGTTTGTTTTTTTCTGGCCCACAATTTTTTTTTTTTTCTGGCCCACAAATTTTTTTTATTTTCTGTCACTGATTTTTTTTTTTTCTGGCCACAATTTTTTGTTTTTTTCTCTCACTGATTTTTTTTTCTGCGGCACAATTTTTTTTTTTTTCTGGGCCACAAAAAATTTTTTTCTTCTTTTTTAACCTTTTCTGAACCACTGAAAAAAAAAAAATTCGGACATTTTTTTTTTTTTTTCCAGTGGCCCTAATCCTCTTCCGTAGAAACTCACCACACAGAGACGAGAAGGTAATTCTTCAACACAACTTTGATGATGATGATGGTTGTCTTGTCATTTTCACATGATGTTTGTGTTGCAATTCATTATGCATTAGTTTTCTGTCTGTAGAAAATAAATTTATCAGCGCAGGTTGCATCCCAGTCGTCTCCATCATGAAGATTCTGAGTTTGTCTTGGTTTGGATTCACCGTGTTGACCGTCATGTCCTCAACCTCCAACGCCTTGCCGGAGTCGACACTCAGCTAAACTCCTCTCCAAAGGAATCACACAGACTGGAGCGCTTGCGTTGAGTCTTTAATGAAGCCGGTTGGAGTAGGTGTAAAACTATGAAATAAATATACAAACTTTGAATAATACACAGCAGCGGCCAATACAGCACTCACAAGTACACTAGGTCGCCACAACGAATATTAACATAAATCTTATACGTACCGACAGTGCTTTCTAGGACCAATTGTATAACAGTAGCCGTGTTACTGCGAAAACCCATGCGTTGCGTTGTTCTGACCTGTCTGCTTTCTAATGACATCATTAACGCTCGACTCTTAAAGTGATGTACATAAATTTCACCACTAGATGGCGACATTGAACGCTTAAATCTTATAACTTGTAGAATGTCAACTGACATAACATCACATTGACTTTAGTCCATGCAGTCGGTGAATATTTACTGCAGCAGTATGTGCTGGTATTTTGTTTCTTTTATTTCTTTGAAATATAGAGTAACTACTCTGTAGAAAACCTAAAAACATTAATTACATTTTCTTTTGAGAATAAAATGGTTGCAATTACAGATTGCCTGGTCGGCTGTCAGATATCTTTGCAGCTGCAGTTCTGGAAAATCTTTATTTATTTTGCACTTGTTTTGTGCCTGCGTCTCTGCATTTTATTGCCATGACCTTCACTTGACCTTAGTTATCTATCCTGGGTTAAAATTTCACAATAAGCTCTGTCTGCTGCCAGCTCTTGTGCATGGAGCCCGTTTGTGTGCAAACCTCATTTTGTGTCTCACGAAACTGTTTTTGACTGTTTGTAAACCTGCAGTTTCCTAAACCTGAACAATATAATTTGTTCTAAATGAATTGGATTAAATAGAAATTTTAAAACAGGTGCAACATAAGAGAGCCCCATTACTTAGGAACAAAAACATGTTTTGAAAAGAAATGGCATGAAAAGTGTCTCTGGATTCATGTATAATTGTGGAAAATAAAGTTGAAAAGTCTCATAAAATTTACTGATTTAAACAATATTTGCATTTTTGATTTATGATTATTTTCATTTATTCATATATTTTCAACCTGTCGGCAGCCATTCCAGTCACAGACGATGATGCTGGTCCAACAGGAGGTAAATGTTCTTCAGTTTTTGACTTATTATTTTATTCATTTCACATTGAACTAACACATATTCTCATTAACCAAATATGCAGAAAAGTGGTTTGTACTGTGGATCACAGAACTGAATATTGTGTTTGTCCTGTTTGCAGATCATGGCTCTGGATGCCTGGATGCCACCAAATGTGACGCTGAGCTCCCGTCTGTCTGTGCAATCCTCCTCTACTAGATGAACTTGCATGGTGTCCATACAAGTTAGCATGGACACCAGCCTCTCATTTCCTACATTTCCTAAAATGTTTCTGCTCTGTTGCTTTAATATAACAAAAACTGACCAAAGGCACAGACACCTGCTGCTTGTAATGCAGGAGAAAGCAACCTGTCCCTTCTGACAACTTTCCAAATAAAATCTTTAGCAATGATAAAAAAAAAGTGTGTGTGTGTGTGTGTATATTAAAGCAACACATTTTTCTCCCTTCCATTTTCTTAGAGTTTCTTTCATTGAATACAGTTACATAATCTGAACTGCTTAAATTTACATGTTTAAAAAAACATCTAACATGCCTTTAAATTAGATTTTATTCTTGCAGATGGTAACTTTAGTACGTGTCAGAGCGATTACTGTCGTCACATTTTGACATCTTCCTAAAGTTTGCCTTATTAAAACAACTCTATCTCTAATTAAACACCTCACTCCTATCTCTCTGTGAGGAGTGTCTGTGACCTTTGACCGCCCCTTTCTGTTTGTGCAGCGTTAGTCTCTCTGATGCCATCTGAGGTCACCACAGCTCCACGTTTCTCCGGACAGAGAAACCCAGTGGGGGGCCAAAGTTGGATTTGGATTTATGTGTCCTCAAAATTATTTAGGTTTTTGACTTTTCATGCTCAGCTGTGTAATCAAACTTTGAGCATTTTTATCAAAGAACTGTATCAATGTACACAAGAATCCAGAAACACAATATTCACATCGGAAATCTTTCTGTTAAATATGAGGACAATCCTGCTTTACGCCTCTCTGTATAAACAGTTTTCCTTGGACAAGAAAAGGTGACAATAGTGGGTTTTTTTCCTGTTGTCACATGCAACTGACAAAAATGTTATCAGTTCATAAGCTTGAAAAATATTGTATCAACAAACTGCAGGTTGTGAAAGAGAACAAACATAACTTCACACGCTGCACATTAAACCAATATTTAGTTTTCCTGAAATTCAAAGGTGGAGATGTTTTCAGAGCAAACAGACTGACAGCTCAGTTACACTGGACCTGATTCACCTTCTTTCTTTCTTTCTTGGGAACCTTTTTAACTTTTTACAAGTTTTTAGTAAGAAAAAACAAAAAGTGTAAATGTTCTGCAGATTGTTTTTCTGTAGATCATATATATGTCACCATTAAAATTCAACCGTTCAGCATGACCTCCAGTGAAATATGATAAACCTGAATGATAAGCAAACAGCTTTTATCCTCAGAGCTTCTTAGTTCATGACCTTGACCTGAAAACGTCTCTGCAGTCATAAACATTTACAGCCCACAGCAACATATTAAAGCACAACCTGCATATGCAGATATAAGATGAGGAAACTCATGAAAACCTTCATAGATGACATACTACACATTTATATTTCATCAATTTTCTTTTTTACATTGATCAATCTGATATTAATTTATTCTGAGGAATATTTTTTATAACATTACTTTATATCTGGATTTGCATGAATATTTAAACCGAATCTAAAGTCCAGCTTTATTCCAGAAACCATCAATGTGAGCTGTAGCTTATTATTTTATTCATTTCCTAACTTTTCCTTATTTTCTTTCATTGACCTAAACATAATAACTACAAGGATTTTATTCCATGCAACCGCAGAATAACCCTGTTCATGTTAACATTTGCAGGACTGGAGGAATGCAGACTGAGGCCACTGCCTAGAGGAACCAAAGCTAACGTTCTGTTTTCTCAGAGCTCACAGGAAACACAGCACAGCTGAGACAATGTGGTCCCACAACATGCCTGATATAAGATGAGAGTTTTTATGGCAATCTTAATTATTCTACATCAACACACGGCTGCAGTCAATTGCAACAACTGAATCAAAGTTGGTGATTCAATTACATCTCAGTCAAGATGTAACAAAGATGTTACATTTTAACATCTCTGTTACTTTTTGACAGAGATGTTAAGTTGCAACAAAGATGTTAAATCTTAACATATCTGTTAAAATGTTTCTTTCTTTCATTCTTTGTTTTGTTCTTTCTGTCTTTCATCCTTTCTCTCATTGTTTGTGGTCATATTCAGTGCATCTGTTTTCACCTCCTCTGACGAGGGGGCTGCGGATGGCGTGCGGCGGCCCGTGCATTACATTCAGCTGTCGAAAAAGTTTTTACCAACCTAACTGGACCTAACTGGTCCACTTACCTCTGACCTTAACTCTTTCACTGTTAAATTAGGAATTATCTCTTTTTTTCCCCAATTTGTGAAACGTAACACCACCTGATTTCAACATTTCTCAAGTGAAGACCTTCTTTAGTTTCCTGATTAAAGTCTCACATCCACAGACAGGAAATCCTCTCAGATTCTCTGTTTTTACATCAAACTTTGAGAAATATTATTAAAAAACATAATCTTTTACACTTATCTATCAGTTCCTGAAACTCATTATTGTGTCAGAAAAAGTATGGTTTACTGGCGCCACCATGTGGAAATTGGTGAGTATTAAAGTTTTGGGTCAGATCATAATTTTATTTAAATAAAGGAGGCAGCTGGAATTATTTTTGCTCATATTTGCATCATTTTTTTTTACAGTTTTCTCTCATTCCTTAGATTAAAAACAAATGTTCATATATTTGAAACAAACATTTTCACAGTCGTTTCAATAATTAATAAAAAAAAACATATTTTCTGATTGCTGAATTTTGACCTGACAGAACATGAATAAAAATCTAAATAAATGTATTAAAGATGTTTAAAAAATATAAGTGTCACAAGGCAAAACATTATCGTGAAATAAAAAAACAATGAACAAATCAATACTTTTACAATTACTCTGTTTTTATTTCATGGGTAAATTTATTTATTTGATGTATCATTTATTAATAGTTAATAACAGTATTTATTTACTCAATTTTGAATGAAATAGCTCTCAATAAAACAACCATTATAAAAATTTCTGAATGAAAAAACTGGATTATTGATCAGAGGATTTAGAAATATTGCCCCACATCGAGCAGCAAAGAAATCAGTCAGTCAAAGCAAAATAAGAGCATAAAATATATAAAAACAAAATAAAGAATAAAATACCAGAAGCTATTTTTCTGAGATGAAAAATATCTAAGAAATAAATATTTAATGTCATATTTATTTACATTAAATATTTAATTTAGGAACCATGACAAGAGAGTTCATCCTTATATTGTTTGAATTTGTTTTATTTAATTAGATTGATATCTTTAACGCATATTGGCCGTAATCTGACTAAACCTTTTTAGACATTAGACACGTCGAGTCCGGGTCCAACAGCGACACCTGGTGGTGCACGGGTTGAAGTGCAGACTAGTGACAGAGCAGAAGATCATTTGATAAATGAGCTCAGAGGTTGGAAGGCCTCTGTTCCATCACCCTAATCTTCATCTCCCTCCACAGATTCTCTACCAAGTTGCCACTCTGGCTCAATTTCAGACATATTACTCAAAATCCACCAAAACATGTTGATAAGATTAAATATTTGCTATGTGGGATTGAACTGTGCCCTTTTATTTGACATTTTTTGACCTCACAGTTTGTTTTATCTGACCTCTGACCTCATGTTGTGTGCTGAGTAAATATATGAATGCAACTTGATATTTATGAAGGGTGTTGTTTGTTCGGTGCTCTGATTCCTGGAAACAAGAAGTGTTTGTTGTTTGAGTCTGGGTGTCTGATCCTGTTCGCTTATTAAGGCCGGGAGGCGTCAGTCTGTTCAGAACAACACTGAAGCTGCAGGCTGAAACTCACCACATAGAGACGAGAAGGTAATTCTTCAACACAACTTTGATGATGATGATGGTTGTCTTGTCATTTTCACATGATGTTTGTGTTGCAATTCATTATGCATTAGTTTTCTGTCTGTAGAAAATAAATTTATCAGCGCAGGTTGCATCCCAGTCGTCTCCATCATGAAGATCCTGAGTTTGTCTTGGTTTGGATTCACCGTGTTGACTTTAGTCCAGGCAGTCGGTGAGTATTTACTGCAGCAGTATGTGCTGGTATTTTGTTTCTTTTATTTTTTTGAAATATAGAGTAACTACTCTGTAGAAAACCTAAAAACATTAATTACATTTTCTTTTGAGAATAAAATGGTTGCAATTACAGAGAGCCTGGTCGGCTGTCAGATATCTTTGCAGCTGCAGTTCTGGAAAATCTTTATTTATTTTGCACTTGTTTTGTGTCTGCGTCTCTGCATTTTATTGCCATGACCTTCACTTGACCTTAGTTATCTATCCTGGGTTAAAATTTCACAATAAGCTCTGTCTGCTGCCAGCTCTTGTGCATGGAGCCCGTTTGTGTGCAAACCTCATTTTGTGTCTCACAAAACTGTTTTTGACTGTTTGTAAACCTGCAGTTTCCTAAACCTGAACAATATAATTTGTTCTAAATGAACTGGATTAAATAGAAATTTTAAAACAGGTGCAACATAAGAGAGCCCCATTACTTAGGAACAAAAACATGTTTTGAAAAGAAATGGCATGAAAAGTGTCTCTGGATTCATGTATAATTGTGGAAAATAAAGTTGAAAAGTCTCATAAAATTTACTGATTTAAACAATATTTGCATTTTTGATTTATGATTATTTTCATTTATTCATATATTTTCAACCTGTCGGCAGCCATTCCAGTCACAGACGATGATGCTGGTCCAACAGGAGGTAAATGTTCTTCAGTTTTTTCTTTCATCAACTATTCTTTGTGTTTCCTGTCAATAAGGGAAACATGACGATGTTTCACAATAAGCTCTGTAGAATCGATACTGTGTGTGTAAACCTCACTTTTCATAAAGTTGTTTTGATTGCTTAAAGAATCAGGAGTGAATTAAATATAGCATTTGATAGACAATGTTATATTGTCTTTGAAATATAACATGAATGTAAAAGTAAAGTTATTTAATTGAAGACTCTTCTGAACGATGCTCTGTCTGCAGACGCTCCATTCGATGATTTCTATCCTCATCATCCACCAACCCAAGGTAAGTCTTTTTATTATTAGTTTTATTTACATTATTCTGTTTGCATCATGTCATTTTGACAAAGAAAGAAGATGAATATAATCATAAATACATTTATAAAACTTTAAATTGTAAATGTGAATATAAATAAAGTGTTTTTCTTTAGATTACGGTCATGACTGGATGGAAGGAACTGGTCAGTTTCCCCCCATTGTTAACGTATTCAGAATCATATTCTCTAACTTGTCAGCATTAATAAATCTAATATACCTGTAACTATTTAAAGATGGAGACTCTCACTGGGACTTCTCTTGCCCTGATGGATGGTCGATGCACAGCACGCAGTGCCTCCTCTTTGTTCCCCAGAATCTGACCTGGAATGAGGCAAAGGTAACCGAGAAAAGACATTTCACATCAAAATGGTAAAAAATATTATATTATTAATTGAATATTGGCTCCAATTAACTGTTCAAGCTTCTCTATTCATGCTGCTAAATTCATGTTCATAGTTTAGCACCTTTGTGTTTTTACAGTTCACAGTCCCAATGCAAAGCAACTTTTGATTATTTAGCATTTGGGTCATTTGGACTTGATAGAGCTTTAAAGGAATACGGGCCGTTTCCCGGGCTGAACATTTCTGTCCTGCCACTCACTGAAGACTCACCTGCTGATTCTATAGCAAGTTTAGACACAACAGTGATATTGTTCTCCATTTGGTTTTCAACTGTGTGTAATTTCTGTCTTGTCTTTAGAAAAACTGTGCATCCAAAGGTGACGGTTCACTTGCTGCTGTGTCTAGTGACATTCAAGCTGATGAGATTTACAATGAGATGGAAAGAGCTGGGCATCATGGCGGACAAGTGTGGGTTGGAGGCAGCAGAACATCCCAGGTAGATAAATCATCCTTACACAGTTCAAAACCAGGTTTTGTCTTCAATCTGAAGTTGAGTTGGTTTGATTTTTGTCCTGTAGGTCGATCCCTCTTTCCCTGCCTTTGCTAAGTTTTGCAATGAGCAAAGTTCACACCATGAGAACGACTGTCTGCAGATCTCTTTTGGTGGGAAATCAAACTTAAACTTTTTTCATTTCACTTTGAACTCATACATATTCTCATTAACAAAATATGCATATAAGTGGTTTGTACTGTGGATCACAGAACTGAATATTGTGTTTGTCCTGTTTGCAGATCATGGCTCTGGATGCCTGGATGCCACCAAATGTGACGCTGAGCTCCCGTCTGTCTGTGCAATCCTCCTCTACTAGATGAACTTGCATGGTGTCCATACAAGTTAGCATGGACACCAGCCTCTCATTTCCTACATTTCCTAAAATGTTTCTGCTCTGTTGCTTTAATATAACAAAAACTGACCAAAGGCACAGACACCTGCTGCTTGTAATGCAGGAGAAAGCAACCTGTCCCTTCTGACAACTTTCCAAATAAAATCTTTAGCAATGATAAAAAAAAGTGTGTGTGTGTGTGTGTGTGTGTGTGTGTATTAAAGCAACACATTTTTCTCCCTTCCATTTTCTTAGAGTTTCTGTTTCATTGAATACAGTTACATAATCTGTACTGCTTAAATTTACATGTTTAAAAAAACATCTAACATGCCTTTAAATTAGATTTTATTCTTGCAGATGGTAACTTTAGTACGTGTCAGAGCGATTACTGTCGTCACATTTTGACATCTTCCTAAAGTTTGCCTTATTAAAACAACTCTATCTCTAATTAAAGGTTGTGAAAGAGAACAAACATAACTTCACACGCTGCACATTAAACCAATATTTAGTTTTCCTGAAATTCAAAGGTGGAGATGTTTTCAGAGCAAACAGACTGACAGCTCAGTTACACTGGACCTGATTCACCTTCTTTCTTTCTTTCTTGGGAACCTTTTAACTTTTTACAAGTTTTTAGTAAGAAAAAACAAAAAGTGTAAATGTTCTGCAGATTGTTTTTCTGTAGATCATATATGGCACCATTAAAATTCAACCGTTCAGCATGACCTCCAGTGAAATATGATAAACCTGAATGATAAGCAAACAGCTTTTATCCTCAGAGCTTCTTAGTTCATGACCTTGACCTGAAAACGTCTCTGCAGTCATAAACATTTACAGCCCACAGCAACATATTAAAGCACAACCTGCATATGCAGATATAAGATGAGGAAACTCATGAAAACCTTCATAGATGACATACTACACATTTATATTTCATCAATTTTCTTTTTTACATTGATCAATCTGATATTAATTTATTCTGAGGAATATTTTTTATAACATTACTTTATATCTGGATTTGCATGAATATTTAAACCGAATCTAAAGACCAGCTTTATTCCAGAAACCATCAATGTGAGCTGTAGCTTATTATTTTATTCATTTCCTAACTTTTCCTTATTTTCTTTCATTGACCTAAACATAATAACTACAAGGATTTTTATTCCATGCAACCGCAGAATAACCCTGTTCATGTTAACATTTGCAGGACTGGAGGAATGCAGACTGAGGCCACTGCCTAGAGGAACCAAAGCTAACGTTCTGTTTTCTCAGAGCTCACAGGAAACACAGCACAGCTGAGACAATGTGGTCCCACAACATGCCTGATATAAGATGAGAGTTTTTATGGCAATCTTAATTATTCTACATCAACACACGGCTGCAGTCAATTGCAACAACTGAATCAAAGTTGGTGATTCAATTACATCTCAGTCAAGATGTAACAAATATGTTACATCTTAACATCTCTGTTACTTTTTGACAGAGATGTTAAGTTGCAACAAAGATGTTAAATCTTAACATATCTGTTAAAATGTTTCTTTCTTTCATTCTTTGTTTTGTTCTTTCTGTCTTTCATCCTTTCTCTCATTGTTTGTGGTCATATTCAGTGCATCTGTTTTCACCTCCTCTGACGAGGGGGCTGCGGACGAGGGGGCTGCGGATGGCGTGCGGCGGCCCGTGCATTACATTCAGCTGTCGAAAAAGTTTTTACCAACCTAACTGGACCTAACTGGTCCACTTACCTCTGACCTTAACTCTTTCACTGTTAAATTAGGAATTATCTCTTTTTTTTCCCAATTTGTGAAACGTAACACCACCTGATTTCAACATTTCTCAAGTGAAGACCTTCTTTAGTTTCCTGATTAAAGTCTCACATCCACAGACAGGAAATCCTCTCAGATTCTCTGTTTTTACATCAAACTTTGAGAAATATTATTAAAAAACATAATCTTTTACACTTATCTATCAGTTCCTGAAACTCATTATTGTGTCAGAAAAAGTATGGTTTACTGGCGCCACCATGTGGAAATTGGTGAGTATTAAAGTTTTGGGTCAGATCATAATTTTATTTAAATAAAGGAGGCAGCTGGAATTATTTTTGCTCATATTTGCATCATTTTTTTTACAGTTTTCTCTCATTCCTTAGATTAAAAACAAATGTTCATATATTTGAAACAAACATTTTCACAGTCGTTTCAATAATTAATAAAAAAAAACATATTTTCTGATTGCTGAATTTTGACCTGACAGAACATGAATAAAAATCTAAATAAAATGTATAAAAGATGTTTAAAAAATATAAGTGTCACAAGGCAAAATATTATCGTGAAATAAAAAAACAATGAACAAATCAATACTTTTACAATTACTCTGTTTTTATTTCATGGGTAAATTTATTTATTTGATGTATCATTATTAATAGTTAATAACAGTATTTATTTACTCAATTTTGAATGAAATAGCTCTCAATAAAACAACCATTATAAAAATTTCTGAATGAAAAAACTGGATTATTGATCAGAGGATTTAGAAATATTGCCCCACATCGAGCAGCAAAGAAATCAGTCAGTCAAAGCAAAATAAGAGCATAAAATATATAAAACAAAATAAAGAATAAAATACCAGAAGCTATTTTTCCGAGATGAAAAATATCTAAGAAATAAATATTTAATGTCATATTTATTTACATTAAATATTTAATTTAGGAACCATGACAAGAGAGTTCATCCTTATATTGTTTGAATTTGTTTTATTTAATTAGATTGATATATTTAACGCATATTGGCCGTAATCTGACTAAACATTTTTAGACATTAGACACGTCGAGTCCGGGTCCAACAGCGACACCTGGTGGTGCACGGGTTGAAGTGCAGACTAGTGACAGAGCAGAAGATCATTTGATAAATGAGCTCAGAGGTTGGAAGGCCTCTGTTCCATCACCCTAATCTTCATCTCCCTCCACAGATTCTCTACCAAGTTGCCACTCTGGCTCAATTTCAGACATATTACTCAAAATCCACCAAACATGTTGATAAGATTAAATATTTGCTATGTGGGATTGAACTGTGCCCTTTTATTTGACATTTTTTGACCTCACAGTTTGTTTTATCTGACCTCTGACCTCATGTTGTGTGCTGAGTAAATATATGAATGCAACTTGATATTTATGAAGGGTGTTGTTTGTTCGGTGCTCTGATTCCTGGAAACAAGAAGTGTTTGTTGTTTGAGTCTGGGTGTCTGATCCTGTTCGCTTATTAGGGCCGGGAGGCGTCAGTCTGTTCAGAACAACACTGAAGCTGCAGGCTGAAACTCACCACATAGAGACGAGAAGGTAATTCTTCAACACAACTTTGATGATGATGATGGTTGTCTTGTCATTTTCACATGATGTTTGTGTTGCAATTCATTATGCATTAGTTTTCTGTCTGTAGAAAATAAATTTATCAGCGCAGGTTGCATCCCAGTCGTCTCCATCATGAAGATCCTGAGTTTGTCTTGGTTTGGATTCACCGTGTTGACTTTAGTCCAGGCAGTCGGTGAGTATTTACTGCAGCAGTATGTGCTGGTATTTTGTTTCTTTTATTTTTTTGAAATATAGAGTAACTACTCTGTAGAAAACCTAAAAACATTAATTACATTTTCTTTTGAGAATAAAATGGTTGCAATTACAGAGAGCCTGGTCGGCTGTCAGATATCTTTGCAGCTGCAGTTCTGGAAAATCTTTATTATTTTGCACTTGTTTTGTGTCTGCGTCTCTGCATTTTATTGCCATGACCTTCACTTGACCTTAGTTATCTATCCTGGGTTAAAATTTCACAATAAGCTCTGTCTGCTGCCAGCTCTTGTGCATGGAGCCCGTTTGTGTGCAAACCTCATTTTGTGTCTCACAAAACTGTTTTTGACTGTTTGTAAACCTGCAGTTTCCTAAACCTGAACAATATAATTTGTTCTAAATGAACTGGATTAAATAGAAATTTTAAAACAGGTGCAACATAAGAGAGCCCCATTACTTAGGAACAAAAACATGTTTTGAAAAGAAATGGCATGAAAAGTGTCTCTGGATTCATGTATAATTGTGGAAAATAAAGTTGAAAAGTCTCATAAAATTTACTGATTTAAACAATATTTGCATTTTTGATTTATGATTTTTCATTTATTCATATATTTTCAACCTGTCGGCAGCCATTCCAGTCACAGACGATGATGCTGGTCCAACAGGAGGTAAATGTTCTTCAGTTTTTCTTTCATCAACTATTCTTTGTGTTTCCTGTCAATAAGGGAAACATGACGATGTTTCACAATAAGCTCTGTAGAATCGATACTGTGTGTGTAAACCTCACTTTTCATAAAGTTGTTTTGATTGCTTAAAGAATCAGGAGTGAATTAAATATAGCATTTGATAGACAATGTTATATTGTCTTTGAAATATAACATGAATGTAAAAGTAAAGTTATTTAATTGAAGACTCTTCTGAACGATGCTCTGTCTGCAGACGCTCCATTCGATGATTTCTATCCTCATCATCCACCAACCCAAGGTAAGTCTTTTTTATTATTAGTTTTATTTACATTATTCTGTTTGCATCATGTCATTTTGACAAAGAAAGAAGATGAATATAATCATAAATACATTTATAAAACTTTAAATTGTAAATGTGAATATAAATAAAGTGTTTTTCTTTAGATTACGGTCATGACTGGATGGAAGGAACTGGTCAGTTTCCCCCCATTGTTAACGTATTCAGAATCATATTCTCTAACTTGTCAGCATTAATAAATCTAATATACCTGTAACTATTTAAAGATGGAGACTCTCACTGGGACTTCTCTTGCCCTGATGGATGGTCGATGCACAGCACGCAGTGCCTCCTCTTTGTTCCCAGAATCTGACCTGGAATGAGGCAAAGGTAACCGAGAAAAGACATTTCACATCAAAATGGTAAAAAATATTATATTATTAATTGAATATTGGCTCCAATTAACTGTTCAAGCTTCTCTATTCATGCTGCTAAATTCATGTTCATAGTTTAGCACCTTTGTGTTTTTACAGTTCACAGTCCCAATGCAAAGCAACTTTTGATTATTTAGCATTTGGGTCATTTGGACTTGATAGAGCTTTAAAGGAATACGGGCCGTTTCCCGGGCTGAACATTTCTGTCCTGCCACTCACTGAAGACTCACCTGCTGATTCTATAGCAAGTTTAGACACAACAGTGATATTGTTCTCCATTTGGTTTTCAACTGTGTGTAATTTCTGTCTTGTCTTTAGAAAAACTGTGCATCCAAAGGTGACGGTTCACTTGCTGCTGTGTCTAGTGACATTCAAGCTGATGAGATTTACAATGAGATGGAAAGAGCTGGGCATCATGGCGGACAAGTGTGGGTTGGAGGCAGCAGAACATCCCAGGTAGATAAATCATCCTTACACAGTTCAAAACCAGGTTTTGTCTTCAATCTGAAGTTGAGTTGGTTTGATTTTTGTCCTGTAGGTCGATCCCTCTTTCCCTGCCTTTGCTAAGTTTTGCAATGAGCAAAGTTCACACCATGAGAACGACTGTCTGCAGATCTCTTTTGGTGGGAAATCAAACTTAAACTTTTTTCATTTCACTTTGAACTCATACATATTCTCATTAACAAAATATGCATATAAGTGGTTTGTACTGTGGATCACAGAACTGAATATTGTGTTTGTCCTGTTTGCAGATCATGGCTCTGGATGCCTGGATGCCACCAAATGTGACGCTGAGCTCCCGTCTGTCTGTGCAATCCTCCTCTACTAGATGAACTTGCATGGTGTCCATACAAGTTAGCATGGACACCAGCCTCTCATTTCCTACATTTCCTAAAATGTTTCTGCTCTGTTGCTTTAATATAACAAAAACTGACCAAAGGCACAGACACCTGCTGCTTGTAATGCAGGAGAAAGCAACCTGTCCCTTCTGACAACTTTCCAAATAAAATCTTTAGCAATGATAAAAAAAAGTGTGTGTGTGTGTGTGTGTGTGTGTGTGTGTGTATTAAAGCAACACATTTTTCTCCCTTCCATTTTCTTAGAGTTTCTGTTTCATTGAATACAGTTACATAATCTGTACTGCTTAAATTTACATGTTTAAAAAAACATCTAACATGCCTTTAAATTAGATTTTATTCTTGCAGATGGTAACTTTAGTACGTGTCAGAGCGATTACTGTCGTCACATTTTGACATCTTCCTAAAGTTTGCCTTATTAAAACAACTCTATCTCTAATTAAAGGTTGTGAAAGAGAACAAACATAACTTCACACGCTGCACATTAAACCAATATTTAGTTTTCCTGAAATTCAAAGGTGGAGATGTTTTCAGAGCAAACAGACTGACAGCTCAGTTACACTGGACCTGATTCACCTTCTTTCTTTCTTTCTTGGGAACCTTTTAACTTTTTACAAGTTTTTAGTAAGAAAAAACAAAAAGTGTAAATGTTCTGCAGATTGTTTTTCTGTAGATCATATATATGGCACCATTAAAATTCAACCGTTCAGCATGACCTCCAGTGAAATATGATAAACCTGAATGATAAGCAAACAGCTTTTATCCTCAGAGCTTCTTAGTTCATGACCTTGACCTGAAAACGTCTCTGCAGTCATAAACATTTACAGCCCACAGCAACATATTAAAGCACAACCTGCATATGCAGATATAAGATGAGGAAACTCATGAAAACCTTCATAGATGACATACTACACATTTATATTTCATCAATTTTTTTTTTACATTGATCAATCTGATATTAATTTATTCTGAGGAATATTTTTTATAACATTACTTTATATCTGGATTTGCATGAATATTTAAACCGAATCTAAAGACCAGCTTTATTCCAGAAACCATCAATGTGAGCTGTAGCTTATTATTTTATTCATTTCCTAACTTTTCCTTATTTTCTTTCATTGACCTAAACATAATAACTACAAGGATTTTTATTCCATGCAACCGCAGAATAACCCTGTTCATGTTAACATTTGCAGGACTGGAGGAATGCAGACTGAGGCCACTGCCTAGAGGAACCAAAGCTAACGTTCTGTTTTCTCAGAGCTCACAGGAAACACAGCACAGCTGAGACAATGTGGTCCCACAACATGCCTGATATAAGATGAGAGTTTTTATGGCAATCTTAATTATTCTACATCAACACACGGCTGCAGTCAATTGCAACAACTGAATCAAAGTTGGTGATTCAATTACATCTCAGTCAAGATGTAACAAATATGTTACATCTTAACATCTCTGTTACTTTTTGACAGAGATGTTAAGTTGCAACAAAGATGTTAAATCTTAACATATCTGTTAAAATGTTTCTTTCTTTCATTCTTTGTTTTGTTCTTTCTGTCTTTCATCCTTTCTCTCATTGTTTGTGGTCATATTCAGTGCATCTGTTTTCACCTCCTCTGACGAGGGGCTGCGGACGAGGGGGTTGCGGATGGCGTGCGGCGGCCCGTGCATTACATTCAGCTGTCGAAAAAGTTTTTACCAACCTAACTGGACCTAACTGGTCCACTTACCTCTGACCTTAACTCTTTCACTGTTAAATTAGGAATTATCTCTTTTTTTTCCCAATTTGTGAAACGTAACACCACCTGATTTCAACATTTCTCAAGTGAAGACCTTCTTTAGTTTCCTGATTAAAGTCTCACATCCACAGACAGGAAATCCTCTCAGATTCTCTGTTTTACATCAAACTTTGAGAAATATTATTAAAAAACATAATCTTTTACACTTATCTATCAGTTCCTGAAACTCATTATTGTGTCAGAAAAAGTATGGTTTACTGGCGCCACCATGTGGAAATTGGTGAGTATTAAAGTTTTGGGTCAGATCATAATTTTATTTAAATAAAGGAGGCAGCTGGAATTATTTTTGCTCATATTTGCATCATTTTTTTTACAGTTTTCTCTCATTCCTTAGATTAAAAACAAATGTTCATATATTTGAAACAAACATTTTCACAGTCGTTTCAATAATTAATAAAAAAAAACATATTTTCTGATCTGAATTTTGACCTGACAGAACATGAATAAAAATCTAAATAAAATGTATAAAAGATGTTTAAAAAATATAAGTGTCACAAGGCAAAATATTATCGTGAAATAAAAAAAACAATGAACAAATCAATACTTTTACAATTATTCTGTTTTTATTTCATGGGTAAATTTATTTATTTGATGTATCATTTATTAATAGTTAATAACAGTATTTATTTACTCAATTTTGAATGAAATAGCTCTCAATAAAACAACCATTATAAAAATTTCTGAATGAAAAAACTGGATTATTGATCAGAGGATTTAGAAATATTGCCCCACATCGAGCAGCAAAGAAATCAGTCAGTCAAAGCAAAATAAGAGCATAAAATATATAAAAACAAAATAAAGAATAAAATACCAGAAGCTATTTTTCTGAGATGAAAAATATCTAAGAAATAAATATTTAATGTCATATTTATTTACATTAAATATTTAATTTAGGAACCATGACAAGAGAGTTCATCCTTATATTGTTTGAATTTGTTTTTTATTTAATTAGATTGATATATTTAACGCATATTGGCCGTAATCTGACTAAACCTTTTTAGAATTAGACACGTCGCGTCCGGGTCCAACAGCGACACCTGGTGGTGCACGGGTTGAAGTGCAGACTAGTGACAGAGCAGAAGATCATTTGATAAATGAGCTCAGAGGTTGGAAGGCCTCTGTTCCATCACCCTAATCTTCATCTCCCTCCACAGATTCTCTACCAAGTTGCCACTCTGGCTCAATTTCAGACATATTACTCAAAATCCACCAAAACATGTTGATAAGATTAAATATTTGCTATGTGGGATTGAACTGTGCCCTTTTATTTGACATTTTTTGAGCTCACAGTTTGTTTTATCTGACCTCTGACCTCATGTTGTGTGCTGAGTAAATATATGAATGCAACTTGATATTTATGAAGGGTGTTGTTTGTTCGGTGCTCTGATTCCTGGAAACAAGAAGTGTTTGTTGTTTGAGTCTGGGTGTCTGATCCTGTTCGCTTATTAGGGCCGGGAGGCGTCAGTCTGTTCAGAACAACACTGAAGCTGCAGGCTGAAACTCTACGGAAGAGGATTAGGGCCACTGGAAAAATCCTCCATCAGAGCCCCTGTGCAGCTCTGGAATTGAGTACATCACCACAGGTCGGCCCGATACTGCACCCCCACTTGCCCGGATTTTGTGAGTTCCATGTGTTCACATCATCATCAAGGTCATCCTGCATAAAAACAAACCATAAATGTTTAAAACTAAAAATGTAACTGTAGCTTTTGCTAAAGATGAGGCATATATTAATCAGCATACATAGAAAGTGACCTCTAATCAAAACCAAGCAGCAAGAACAAAATTGCAATTCCAAAACATTTTATTCTGCACATAAAATGATTCCCCAACGTATGGTAAAACTTAGTAATTTATGGATAAAACTTATTTTTAAAACTACACCAAAGGAGTTTAGGAGAACACATTCCCAAGAAATTTAAACCATTTTTATTTTTAGTAAACATACCAGAAGATATGCTTTTAATACCTTTTTTGAAAAAAAAACATTACAGTGTACCAGTATACACTTTTACCTGAATAAGATTAAGAAAGCAGAATTGGATAAGGCTTTTATCCAAAAAATCTCCTGTGAAGTGACCATCATCCAGAAAGGTTTGAAATAAGTTCATCCAAAACTGTGCGCTCTGTTTACGGAGGGTGGACCACCATCCTTCAATGCGCTGGTTGGATGTACTTCTTCTGTAAAGGAAACTTTTGTCCCCTGCAAAACTGTCTGTGTGGTTTCGCCTCAGAAATATCTGCATTTGTTCAACACAAATGTTTTCTGTGCCTCTGTCGGCACGTATCCTCTCAGGACATCCTTTGACACATGAAACGGTTTTCAAAAAATAACTTGCAATCAGTTTTGGGTCATTGTTCGTGGTATAAGCCTCCATCCATAAAACATGTCGGCTAAAACCATCTATACAGCCACTGATAGCAATGCCATAAGGTTTTAGTTTATCGTAGCCATCCATATGCCAGAGCGCATTTGGTCCTCTGCAATTGTACTGACGTCTTCTCAACCGTCGTGCTCGTCTCAGTTCCACACCTTCTGGGTCAAACAATTTGATTAATTGTCTCACAGTGTCTTGTGACACCACAAATCCATGTTGAATCGCACGAAGATGTAGCCACTGATAACCTTGCATTTGTCCATTAGTCATTATTTGTTGTTGGACAAAGGCTAGCACTTCTTCAAGGTCGGACTAATTCTTTCTTCGAAACAGCCCAAGTCTTCTGCAAATTCTTTTTAGAGTACGATTACTTAATATAGTATGATGACTGTGCGCTAAAATTTGAAGGATTTCTTTGTTATTTAAAGAGAGTCTGAAGTAAAGCCTAATGATATCATCCAAATCTGACATTTTCGAGCTTCTTTCACTTTAAGAAGGGAACAGTCTTAAACAGAAGGCCTTTTTTCCTCTTGGACAGTTTGTTGATTTAGTAGAAGTTTAAAACAGCAAATCCATCGCCGTGATTTTTCAGCTTTGCTGCGGCATCACAGTCAATCTGCACAGAAAAAGATGAGAAAGGACAATTACTTAGTCTGCAAATCAACGTCAAAGTTACCTTTAAGATTGTATCCTTACTTTCCTGCTTAAAGCCATTTATTGTTTGGGGAGAATTACAATAATAGCAGCAGTAAATGTTCAGTCCTCTATTTTACTGAAAAAGAGGAAGGACTGGATTGATTAGCTGTGTTTATATGCTCATATAAACACAGATTCATAAATATACAGTCTACTTAAGATAAAAAGTATCAGGCATAAAAACACACAAGGAAATATTAACAACTTCTTTTTATTACAAAAGTTAAATATCACATTAACTTTGATTTAGTCAAATGAAGCCTATCGTTTCTGCACCCGAGCGATATATGTGCTGATAGTTTAGTTCAGGGATTGACATGCAATTTCAGTCCTGAGCTGACACATGACAAATGATTTAGTGAATCTCATAATGTCACTTTTTCCAACGTCGTAACACAAACATATAATATACATAAATAAAATAGCACAGATAGGCGCATTAGTTGATGTTGGTAAATATAATATATCGGTAGTTGTATGATATTTTCCTTTTAAATATATGCATATATAGACGTCTGTCACTTTGTACTATAGTTTCTGTCCTCTACTGAACTAAAAGTTGCAGTTTAACACAGCAGACATCTTATATAGGTGGCTGACATATACAGCTAACCTTAGTTTAATTGTAAAACATTTAAACAGAAGAACAATAAAATAAACATACCAAACACTTTATAGACAATTCCAGCAATTAACAGCTGTTATATCCTTTATTCATCCGTGTGATCTAACATTGTAAATCAGCTTATTCCTTTAACCGCGTAAGCTAACAAACATGCTAACAGCTAGCTATAACCGTTCGGCTTTAGACACTGAACTATCCCATTTGATTTCTCACCTTTTGTTCTTCCATTAGTGCAATGGACGCTTCTGGTACTCTTCTGGCACGTAAAAAGTCGCTTAAATCAGACATTTTCTCCAGAACATTGGCTGTCCGGCGTAACTCAACCTGCGTCTGTGTGGCTGCTGCTGGCGCCCATCAGTCCGAATTCTGACTTTTTTTTTGTTATTGTTTGTTTTTTCTGGCCCACAATTTTTTTTTTTTTTTTTTCTGGCCCACAATTTTTTATTTTTCTGTCACTGATTTTTTTTTTTTCTGGCCCACAATTTTTTTGTTTTTTTCTCTCACTGTTTTTTTTTTTCTGCGGCACAATTTTTTTTTTTTTTCTGGGCCACAGAAAAATTTTTTCTTCTTTTTTAACCTTTTCTGAACCACTGAAAAAAAAAAATTTCGGACATTTTTTTTTTTTTTCCAGTGGCCCTAATCCTCTTCCGTAGAAACTCACCACACAGAGACGAGAAGGTAATTCTTCAACACAACTTTGATGATGATAATGGTTGTCTTGTCATTTTCACATGATGTTTGTGTTGCAATTCATTATGCATTAGTTTTCTGTCTGTAGAAAATAAATTTATCAGCGCAGGTTGCATCCCAGTCGTCTCCATCATGAAGATTCTGAGTTTGTCTTGGTTTGGATTCACCGTGTTGACCGTCATGTCCTCAACCTCCAACGCCTTGCCGGAGTCGACACTCAGCTAAACTCCTCTCCAAAGGAATCACACAGACTGGAGCGCTTGCGTTGAGTCTTTAATGAAGCCGGTTGGAGTAGGTGTAAAACTATGAAATAAATATACAAACTTTGAATAATACACAGCAGCGGCCAATACAGCACTCACAAGTACACTCGGTCGCCACAACAAATATTAACATAAATCTTATACGTACCGACAGTGCTTTCTAGGACCAATTGTATAACAGTAGCCGTGTTACTGCGAAAACCCATGCGTTGCGTTGTTCTGACCTGTCTGCTTTCTAATGACATCATTAACGCTCGACTCTTAAAGTGATGTACATAAATTTCACCACTAGATGGCGACATTGAACGCTTAAATCTTATAACTTGTAGAATGTCAACTGACATAACATCACATTGACTTTAGTCCATGCAGTCGGTGAATATTTACTGCAGCAGTATGTGCTGGTATTTTGTTTCTTTATTTCTTTGAAATATAGAGTAACTACTCTGTAGAAAACCTAAAAACATTAATTACATTTTCTTTTGAGAATAAAATGGTTGCAATTACAGAGAGCCTGGTCGGCTATCAGATATCTTTGCAGCTGCAGTTCTGGAAAATCTTTATTTATTTTGCACTTGTTTTGTGCCTGCGTCTCTGCATTTTATTGCCATGACCTTCACTTGACCTTAGTTATCTATCCTGGGTTAAAATTTCACAATAAGCTCTGTCTGCTGCCAGCTCTTGTGCATGGAGCCCGTTTGTGTGCAAACCTCATTTTGTGTCTCACGAAACTGTTTTTGACTGTTTGTAAACCTGCAGTTTCCTAAACCTGAACAATATAATTTGTTCTAAATGAATTGGATTAAATAGAAATTTTAAAACAGGTGCAACATAAGAGAGCCCCATTACTTAGGAACAAAAACATGTTTTGAAAAGAAATGGCATGAAAAGTGTCTCTGGATTCATGTATAATTGTGGAAAATAAAGTTGAAAAGTCTCATAAAATTTACTGATTTAAACAATATTTGCATTTTTGATTTATGATTTTTTCATTTATTCATATATTTTCAACCTGTCGGCAGCCATTCCAGTCACGGACGATGATGCTGGTCCAACAGCAGGTAAATGTTCTTCAGTTTTTTGACTTATTATTTTATTCATTTCACATTGAACTAACACATATTCTCATTAACCAAATATGCAGAAAAGTGGTTTGTACTGTGGATCACAGAACTGAATATTGTGTTTGTCCTGTTTGCAGATCATGGCTCTGGATGCCACCAAATGTGACGCTGAGCTCCCGTCTGTCTGTGCAATCCTCCTCTACTAGATGAACTTGCATGGTGTCCATACAAGTTAGCATGGACACCAGCCTCTCATTTCCTACATTTCCTAAAATGTTTCTGCTCTGTTGCTTTAATATAACAAAAACTGACCAAAGGCACAGACACCTGCTGCTTGTAATGCAGGAGAAAGCAACCTGTCCCTTCTGACAACTTTCCAAATAAAATCTTTAGCAATGATAAAAAAAAGTGTGTGTGTGTGTGTATATTAAGCAACACATTTTTCTCCCTTCCATTTTCTTAGAGTTTCTGTTTCATTGAATACAGTTACATAATCTGTACTGCTTAAATTTACATGTTTAAAAAAACATCTAACATGCCTTTAAATTAGATTTATTCTTGCAGATGGTAACTTTAGTACGTGTCAGAGCGATTACTGTCGTCACATTTTGACATCTTCCTAAAGTTTGCCTTATTAAAACAACTCTATCTCTAATTAAACACCTCACTCCTATCTCTCTGTGAGGAGTGTCTGTGACCTTTGACCCGCCCCTTTCTGTTTGTGCAGCGTTAGTCTCTCTGATGCCATCTGAGGTCACCACAGCTCCACGTTTTCTCCCGACAGAGAAACCCAGTGGGGGGCCAAAGTTGGATTTGGATTTATGTGTCCTCAAAATTATTTTAGGTTTTTGACTTTTCATGCTCAGCTGTGTAATCAAACTTTGAGCATTTTTATCAAAGAACTGTATCAATGTACACAAGAATCCAGAAACACAATATTCACATCGGAAATCTTTCTGTTAAATATGAGGACAATCCTGCTTTACGCCTCTCTGTATAAACAGTTTTCCTTGGACAAGAAAAGGTGACAATAGTGGTTTTTTTCCTGTTGTCACATGCAACTGACAAAAATGTTATCAGTTCATAAGCTTGAAAAATATTGTATCAACAAACTGCAGGTTGTGAAAGAGAACAAACATAACTTCACACGCTGCACATTAAACCAATATTTAGTTTTCCTGAAATTCAAAGGTGGAGATGTTTTCAGAGCAAACAGACTGACAGCTCAGTTACACTGGACCTGATTCACCTTCTTTCTTTCTTTCTTGGGAACCTTTTTAACTTTTACAAGTTTTTAGTAAGAAAAAACAAAAAGTGTAAATGTTCTGCAGATTGTTTTTTGTAGATCATATATATGGCACCATTAAAATTCAACCGTTCAGCATAACCTCCAGTGAAATATGATAAACCTGAATGATAAGCAAACAGCTTTTATCCTCAGAGCTTCTTAGTTCATGACCTTGACCTGAAACGTCTCTGCAGTCATAAACATTTACAGCCACAGCAACATATTAAAGCACAACCTGCATATGCAGATATAAGATGAGGAAACTCATGAAAACCTTCATAGATGACATACTACACATTTATATTTCATCAATTTTCTTTTTTACATTGATCAATCTGATATTGATTTATTCTGAGGAATATTTTTTATAACATTACTTTATATCTGGATTTGCATGAATATTTAAACCGAATCTAAAGACCAGCTTTATTCCAGAAACCATCAATGTGTGAGCTATAGCTTATTTTATTCATTTCCTAACTTTTCCTTATTTTCTTTCATTGACCTAAACATAATAACTACAAGGATTTATATTCCATGCAACCGCAGAATAACCCTGTTCATGTTAACATTTGCAGGACTGGAGGAATGCAGACTGAGGCCACTGCCTAGAGGAACCAAAGCTAACGTTCTGTTTTCTCAGAGCTCACAGGAAACACAGCACAGCTGAGACAATGTGGTCCCACAACATGCCTGATATAAGATGAGAGTTTTTATGGCAATCTTAATTATTCTACATCAACACACGGCTGCAGTCAATTGCAACAACTGAATCAAAGTTGGTGATTCAATTACATCTCAGTCAAGATGTAACAAAGATGTTACATTTTAACATCTCTGTTACTTTTTGACAGAGATGTTAAGTTGCAACAAAGATGTTAAATCTTAACATATCTGTTAAAATGTTTCTTTCTTTCATTCTTTGTTTTGTTCTTTCTGTCTTTCATCCTTTCTCTCATTGTTTGTGGTCATATTCAGTGCATCTGTTTTCACCTCCTCTGACGAGGGGGCTGCGGACGAGGGGGCTGCGGATGGCGTGCGGCGGCCCGTGCATTACATTCAGCTGTCGAAAAAGTTTTTACCAACCTAACTGGACCTAACTGGTCCACTTACCTCTGACCTTAACTCTTTCACTGTTAAATTAGGAATTATCTCTTTTTTTCCCAATTTGTGAAACGTAACACCACCTGATTTCAACATTTCTCAAGTGACCTTCTTTAGTTTCCTGATTAAAGTCTCACATCCACAGACAGGAAATCCTCTCAGATTCTCTGTTTTTACATCAAACTTTGAGAAATATTATTAAAAAACATAATCTTTTACACTTATCTATCAGTTCCTGAAACTCATTATTGTGTCAGAAAAAGTATGGTTTACTGGCGCCACCATGTGGAAATTGGTGAGTATTAAAGTTTTGGGTCAGATCATAATTTTATTTAAATAAAGGAGGCAGCTGGAATTATTTTTGCTCATATTTGCATCATTTTTTTTACAGTTTTCTCATTCCTTAGATTAAAAACAAATGTTCATATATTTGAAACAAACATTTTCACAGTCGTTTCAATAATTAATAAAAAAAAACATATTTTCTGATTGCTGAATTTTGACCTGACAGAACATGAATAAAATCTAAATAAAATGTATTAAAGATGTTTAAAAAATATAAGTGTCACAAGGCAAAACATTATCGTGAAATAAAAAAACAATGAACAAATCAATACTTTTACAATTACTCTGTTTTTATTTCATGGGTAAATTTATTTATTTGATGTATCATTTATTAATAGTTAATAACAGTATTTTTTTACTCAATTTTGAATGAAATAGCTCTCAATAAAACAACCATTATAAAAATTTCTGAATGAAAAAACTGGATTATTGATCAGAGGATTTAGAAATATTGCCCCACTCGAGCAGCAAAGAAATCAGTCAGTCAAAGCAAAATAAGAGCATAAAATATATAAAAACAAAATAAAGAATAAAATACCAGAAGCTATTTTTCTGAGATGAAAAATATCTAAGAAATAAATATTTAATGTCATATTTATTTACATTAAATATTTAATTTAGGAACCATGACAAGAGAGTTCATCCTTATATTGTTTGAATTTGTTTTATTTAATTAGATTGATATATTTAACGCATATTGGCCGTAATCTGACTAAACCTTTTTAGACATTAGACACGTCGAGTCCGGGTCCAACAGCGACACCTGGTGGTGCACGGGTTGAAGTGCAGACTAGTGACAGAGCAGAAGATCATTTGATAAATGAGCTCAGAGGTTGGAAGGCCTCTGTTCCATCACCCTAATCTTCATCTCCCTCCACAGATTCTCTACCAAGTTGCCACTCTGGCTCAATTTCAGACATATTACTCAAAATCCACCAAAACATGTTGATAAGATTAAATATTTGCTATGTGGGATTGAACTGTGCCCTTTTATTTGACATTTTTTGACCTCACAGTTTGTTTTATCTGACCTCTGACCTCATGTTGTGTGCTGAGTAAATATATGAATGCAACTTGATATTTATGAAGGGTGTGTTTGTTCGGTGCTCTGATTCCTGGAAACAAGAAGTGTTTGTTGTTTGAGTCTGGGTGTCTGATCCTGTTCGCTTATTAAGGCCGGGAGGCGTCAGTCTGTTCAGAACAACACTGAAGCTGCAGGCTGAAACTCACCACATAGAGACGAGAAGGTAATTCTTCAACACAACTTTGATGATGATGATGGTTGTCTTGTCATTTTCACATGATGTTTGTGTTGCAATTCATTATGCATTAGTTTTCTGTCTGTAGAAAATAAATTTATCAGCGCAGGTTGCATCCCAGTCGTCTCCATCATGAAGATCCTGAGTTTGTCTTGGTTTGGATTCACCGTGTTGACTTTAGTCCAGGCAGTCGGTGAGTATTTACTGCAGCAGTATGTGCTGGTATTTTGTTTCTTTTATT